TAGTGTTTGATAAGGACAATTCCTGTTATCTAAACTGTGTGCTGGTAGATTTAGAGTAACTTATCACACTGAGTCTGGAGGAAGAGTGTGGCTGCTTAACTATGCAGAGAATGACTCACTTTACTATTCAAACCACCTCTGTGAAAAAAAACACCAAACATACACAGAAGATCACTCACAGAATCACAGAATGGTTGGAAGAGAATGGTAAAGATCACCTACTTCCAACCTCTCAGCAATAAACAGGGACATCTTCATTCAGATAAGGGTGCTCAGATGTCTAGAATTAAAAACTAGACACCTTTCTGATTATGGATTACATTTAGCTTTTTATTGCTTCGTCCAGTATATTACATCTTGTTCTCACACAGCTGCACTCACACTGTGTCTGCAGAATCTTACATACCAAAATTATTCTTAGCTCTGTTATTTATATATTATTACCAGCCTTCACATATGACTGGATGTTCACTTTTTATTTACATTGCTGCTAGGCTCCACAGCCTTGCTGCATCCTCCAACACTCAGAGCCCCCCTTCAGTCTGATCTTGACTGTTACAGGGATGGGGCATCCACCACCTCTCTAGGCAACCTGTGTGTCTCACTACTCTCATTGCAAAAAACTTCTTTATATCAATTCTCAATCCAGCCTCTTTCAGTTTAAAACTGCTGCCCCTTGTCTATTGCTATAGGCCCCAAGGTCTGAGGTCCCCATCTTTTTTATCAACTCCCTTTAAGTATTGAAAGGCTGCAGTGAGGTTCTCTAGAGCCTTCTCTTCTTCAGGCTGAGCAACCCCAACATTATCAGCCTGTCTTTGTAGCAGAGGTGCTCCAGCCCTCTGATCATCTTCATGGCCTCCTCTGGACTCGCTCCAACAGATCCATGTCCTTCCTGTGCTGGGGCTCACCAGTGGCCAGGGTCAACTGGAGGGAATTATGTCCTAGTTTGAGTGCTTACAGAGGAGAGGGGGTGGTGTAGGGACCCCAACTTTCACCCCACAGCAATACCCACTGCCCAGTCAGTCCCAGAAGCACACAGGGCCCTCACAGCCTCCCCCCAGGGCTGCAGGACACTCACACCCTCAGACAGCCCAGCTGCACCTCTGTCTCCTGATAATCGCAGGAGCTGCCTGGCCTTCGGCAGCTGTGGGGAGTGTCAGTAAAGGGACCGAGCCTCCTCCTCAGACTCTGATAACATGTCCAGGTAAACAAGAATCTTCTCATGAGAAGTTTCCTCCTTTAATCTGCTTAAAAGAAAATGCAAAAAGTTGATCAAAACAAGGCCAGATTGTCTTGTAAAGTAAACATGATTTCCACCTGGAAAAAAAGAAATAGGTCTAATTTCTCTGAGAGATTGCCTTCAAAAACATTTCAGAGAAGTACAAATATCTAAAATACACCAGGGAAAATGTATTGCAGAAATGATTTATTTCATGCCAACTTAACTCTTTGACTATATATTAGAACATACATTTCAAAAATATATCCAGTACAACAATAATTTAGAACACTACAGAGAAAAATTTGTAACTCTGAATTTCAAAACAATGTATTTATGCATACATATTTGTATCATAAGGCAAAAGAAGATAGTCTATCCATAAGCAGCACTCCTACAGCCTATCTTGATATACACTGGAGAATGAAGATCTTTTACTAAACCTAGGCTTACAAATGAATTCCCTTATCTTCCAGATACCTCTACAGAAACACAATGTATTTCTATAGAAAATAATTAATTTCTACGGTGACAGCTAAGCTATCACTATAAAACTAGTATAGTTCACAGGAATATGTCAAATAGAGCAACATTATCCGGATGAAATAAACGAAGCTGCATATTATTATTGCCTGTCAATTACAACTAAAACATACCCATGCACACAAAAGCATGCTGAGGAACATATTCCAATGCATTCTAAGAGAAACAAAGAATAAACCAAACTGGGTTTACCATATGACCCAAACAGAAGGTACCAAATATAATGCAATATAATCAGTGATAGCAATTAATGTATTAAAAAGGGATCTAGTTCAACGTGCTTTTTTTTGCTAGGAATGCTGAGTTTCTGTTAACATAATCAAATGGTGTAGGAGTGTCTCAGCTTCAGACTAGACTACTTAGAGGCACAGCTAGTATTAGATAACTGCCATGAAGCAGTACATATTCCTGCAGAGCCCATTAGGGAAAAGGAATGTAAAAGTTTCAAAAAGTTTACAAGATTCACAAACTAAGCTGCTCAAAAAAGTAACAATTTTCTGAATTTCAAAGAAAAAAAAAAAAAAGCTAGGACACAACATATCCCCTTAGTAGTGTTCTTGTTAATAAAGATGCACATATTTTTCTGTAATGAACAAGTCAGATTTCTTTAAGAAGCCTCATAAAAAGTTCTCCTTCATAAAGTGATCTCTATTTGGTATTGTGAATGCCCCTCAGATTTCAAGTAATTACAGCAATAATGAAAACTGAAACAATACGTAGTATTTTTCACATAACATTTACAGTATTCCAAGATCAATTTAATAAAATACAAATTACCATAATCACAGAAAATCATAGTAATCACTTTTTTAATACTTCATATGTAAAAACTGTTGTCAAGTTATGTTTTAAAACAGCAAGAATAAATATTGAAAAGACAGCAGCTTTCCACCATTCCTATTAATTCTGCTAATGACTATTTTACAAGTGCTTGATTGCAAAATAAAGGCAAATTATATATCATAGTTTTTCCAGCAGTGCTAAGTTACAGTAGTATAAAGTTTTTCTTACTGTTACATATTACTTTACCTAAATAATAAGCTACATTGTTGTTGCCCAAAGTGTCACTATTAGCACAGCTTACAAGTTACATATCCTTTACCTTCCTTCATAAAAAGACTCCCTCACTTTACTGAGATGCACCTCTTTTTAGCAGAGTAGAGGACTTATTTCCCAATATACATATAAAAATGTGTATATTTTTAAACATATGGAAAAAGGGAACTACAAATCTAATGTAGGAGTATTAAGTTTGACTAGAGCTTTTTGCTATCTGTACTTTTTAGGAACTCCAACACCGAAAGAGTACTAAAGTAGCTACTGTTTTCACTCCAGCTTTTTGAAGGTCATTGTGACTTGGCATGCATTCTTTTCACTCATTTAAATCTTTGACATGAAGACATTCAAACATTTGTACTTAACTTGGCTAGGATTTTTGGTGTTTGGGGGTTTTTTTGGTGTTTACAGACAAAGAGGAAACTGTGGAAATGATAGTGAAATGTACACACTCACTGCTCAGTATTCAGAGGTGAAATAACAAAGAAACCCATAACTGACATTATTTAGCTGCAAATAAATATGACTATATGTACTGACAGAAAAATACATTAACACTCAGTTCCCAAAAGTACAGTTTGCAAGGGAGTTGTATTAAACAGGTCACCTAATCTGGAGCATCAAATGGGATGCAGGAACACTATTAGCCTATAGTATAGTCACTGCTCCACATATCAAAGTGAGTTTTAACTTGATCTAGCTGCAGCGCTGCTGGGACTCAAGCTACAGCAGCATAGAACCCATCAAGAGTTGCCACAGTCTGGCTGGGAAGCGCTCCAGACTCACAGAATGTTTTGGGTTGGAAGGGACCTGTGAAGGCCATCTAGTCCAACACCCCCCCTGCTATCAGCCAGGACATCTTCAAATAGATCTAAGTGCTCAGAGCCCTGTCTAGCCTGGCCTTGAATCATTTCCAGGGAAGGGTCATCCACCACCTCTCAGGAGAGGGGTAAATCCTTAGGCACAGAGACCTCAGGCAAGTTCTGCATTATTTGTATTAACAGTAAGCAAACGAGTTTAAAACTAGCTCAAGCAGATAGCAAATGCTGTGCAGGCACATCCCTTACTTCTACAATGTTCTTTTACAGTTGTACTCCCTACTTCTTTATTGAAAGCCTTCCAGATTTAGTTATATGAACCTATAATCAGTTTTCACAACACATTTTAGATTAATTGGCCAACAAATTGCACATAATTAGAGCAAGAGTAACTGCTGGTCAGCAATGCACACTAAGATGAAACACGACTTCACTTATCAACTTACAGCATCCAGGGAGGACGTGACACACAAGAGATTGCCAAGTGCAATCCAGGAAACTCTTTAGAGATCTTCAGAGCTCAAAAAAGCAGCCGCTGGTTACTCCCTTACTCCACTGTAACATCAAAAAAGGTCAGCGGATTCCCACCTCAACAAGCTCAGGATGTCCATGTCAGACTCTTAAATCCCACTGCCATTAATTTATGCATTTAACTCCTCAAATTATTGTATTCCAGCAAAAACTGCACAGAGGGCTTACACCAGGGACCAGTTATCTTTCGTATATAAAATCCTGACCACGTTTCCCCTGAAAATTCTGTTTGCAACCATTTCACTGAGAGGGGAAAAACCAGGCCCCAAGAAGGCTCGATCCAAGTCTCTGAAGTCACCAAGGACTAGGTAAGGATACTTCACAGAAATTCAGAAAAAAACACACTCCTGCTATTGTTTTGCCATTAGCACTGAATTAGATCCCTTTGCAGTGACATTTCAAGGGTTAAGCAAAGAACTTGAATCTTTTTCCATTCAAAGATTTTTATAAATAAACTTTGGGCAATTAAATGAGATACAAATTTTTAAAATAGAAATATCAAGTCTAAGAGCATTCATGTGGATGGATGTCCAAAACCATATACAAACCCTTTCACATAAGGCTGAATTCAGGATAGCACTTTTAAGTAGAACTAAAATAAATTATAGATGCTAACAGAGAGATGCTGAAGAAAAAATTATGAATAAAGAGAGACTCATTTTCTCAACTTCCAGTCCCTGATACAGCCATAAGACCTGGAACAAGCTTTTACAAACACAAAATACCCAAATTAAAAAAGTGCCCTCATATAGGCAATCTGGAAATTGCATGAGCTTGAATACATGTGGGCATGGCTGACATTCAGTGTATTCACCTAAGAACAAAACTGACAATTATTGTCTGTCTGCCAATTTATTAATATAATTATTTCTATACAAATAGAGATTTTTTTTTCCTTCTTCATAGTAACAATACAGTGTTTTAAAACAGGCAGATAAATATATTACAAATATCACTACTGTTAGAACACGTACTAAATCACAGGAGGTAGAGTTAGATCCCCATTAACAATAAACTTGAGAAAACACAGACTGTTTTTAAAAATTAGTAGATTATGTCATTCATGAAAACTTACTTTTCTGAACAACTCATTTGTAGCTGCTTTAAGAGATGTCTTTTTTTGAAGCATGATAGAGAATATATGATAGAAACATGTTCTCTTTCAGTTTTCAACATAACTTTGCAATAAGCACATAAGAAAACTCCCAAGTGGTAAAGACTTCAGACAAACTGCAAAAAAGCCATATTTTAAGTTACTCAAATCACCAAAGTTATCATGAATTTGATCGCATCTTTTACCTTATGATTACATTTGAAAATTCATTCAAGTAACTACGGTTTAAAAATATATCTACACCAATAAAATTAATGTGAAGCTTTTCTACACTGTCAATAATTGGCATTTTTGAATGGCATACAAATATGTATTATTCTTTTTGCAACAACTTACTGCAAAATACAGGCACCTTAAAAACTGATACATAATGCAACCAGGGTATTCAGGATATTAAAAGTGTTCGCCATTATCTAGTCATGCTATGTATTTCCCTTCTTTTAAAGAAATACTCTACAGCCGTGCCTGAGATGCGTGCAAATTATCATGTTTCAGTATTTAACTCAATTTTCATAGCGTATTTCCTTAACAGTTACAAAAACAATAGTGTGCCAAAATTTTGAACCATTACACTGTAAAGATCTTAAGCAGACATGGTATCTTCGATAATGTATTCTCACTATTGCACACATGCTCCTAAGACAGTGAAACTCTGGTCCATATTCAATTTCTACTATTTACACATGCTAAAATCATTTATCTGCATATAATGTTGGAAAAGAAAAAATACAGCCTTTCTTCACCAACACACATCACTCCAAAATTTATGCCACCAAATTTCATAGAATCATAGAATACCAGGCTGAAAGGGACCTCAAGGATTATCTGTCGACACCAGGCTGTGCAGTGCAGTCGACACCCTGGAGGGTGGGGATGCCACCCAGAGGAACCTGGTCAGGCTTGAGAGGTGGGTCTGTACAAACCTCATGAAGCTCAAGAAAGTGAAGTGCAATGCTCTACACCTAGGTCATGGCAATCCCAGACAAGCCTACAGGCTGGGCAGAGAAGTGATTGAGAGCAGCCCTGCTGAGAAGGACTTGAGGGTGCTGGTGGATGGGAGGCTGGACATGACCTGGTCATGTGCACTCACAGCCCAGAAAGCCAAATGTATCCTGGGCTGTATCCAAAGCAGAGTGGGCAGCAGGTGAGGGAATTCTGTTCCTCAGCTCCGCTCTGGTGAGACCCCATCTGGAGCACTGCATCCAGCTCCGGGGCTCTCAGCACAGGAGGACGCTGACCTGATGGAGGAAGTCCAGAGGAGGCCATGAAAAAAAAGGGGTCTGGAGCAGCTCCCCTATGAGGACAGGCTGAGAGAGCTGGGACTGTTCAGCCTGGAAAAGACAAGGTTGCAAGAGAAGGTTTTCAGTATCTGAAGGGGCCTACAACAAAGCTGGAGAGGGACTCTTCATCAGAAACTGCAGTGATAGGATAAGGGGGAAGTGCTTTAAAGAGAGTAGGTTTAGATTAGATATTAGGAAGAAACTCCATGAGGATGGTGAGGCACTGGCAGAGGTTTCCCAGAGAAGCTGTGGATGCCCCATCCCTGGAAGTGTTCAAGGACAGGTTGGATGGGGCTCTGAGCAACCTGGTCTAGTGGAAGGTGTCCCTGCCCAGGGCAGGGGGTGTTGGGACTAGGTGATCTTTAAGGTCCATTCCAACCCAAACCATTTTGTGACTATGATTCTATGGTCCAACCTTTCTCAGCAAAAGCACACTCTAGACAAGACAAGCCAGCACCTTGCCCAGCCAAATCTTAAAAGTTAAAGGGAATCCACCACTTCTCTGGGGAGATTATTCCAGTAGATGATTGTTTTCACTGTGTAAAAATTTCCAGTTGTGTCCAACTGGAATCTCCCCAGGAGTATCTTGTACCCATGACCCCACATCTTTTCTATTTGACTCCTTGTAAAAAGGCAGTCTTTATCTTCTTTGTAGCCACTCTTTAAATACTGGAAGGGGTATTTTTATGTTTTTATGAGGAACAGCCTGCCACTCAATCTTTCTCCTTATATGGGTCTGATTCAACACTACTGAAGGCAAAAGAAGCCTTAATTTTATTCAGTAGATTTTGAGCTAAAGTTCAAATAGAAAAAATTGTATGGTAATTGATATAATGCACTTTGGACGCATTATGATGCTCTCACAGCACCAGCTGAAGTCCAAAAAACATCTTTCCAGAAAATCTCTTCCTAGAACTTAAACTGTTGCAGTTCAAATCTTATATACAGTTCAAGGTATATTTATGCATTTGCCATTTACTAAATTAATAGTTTTCTCCTTTTCATCATGACACAAAAGCCCACACTGATGCACAACAGTATCTACAATAGAAGAAGTATGTTCTTATCATAAGTGGTGAACTCATCATAGATGTGCATTTCCAAAATAGTTGTTCCTTCATATTCTTTTTTTAAAACAGAAACAGTCTTTGATGGTTCAGCGATGTATCACAAATACAGTATTTTCCAAGCAATGAGTAGGAGCTAGATGTCCACTGAATTTTCTTTAGCATTGAGGAGCTTAGACATCATCAAATATTTTACTTCGAGACATTGATAGGTATCTTCCACCAGGCTGGTACCTGCAGAATTAATTTGAAATATGAAAAAATATCATAGGGAAATACAAAAATAAAGATCCATGAAATCAAATAACTCTCACTACAATCTTACTGTTAACTCTCAGTGAATTACAGGACCTGAAGTTCTTCTGAATTCCTGTTTCCATGAGAATTTGATAGACAGTCATTAACCATGTAATAACCAAGAAAAACAGTGATTTGAATACTTAGAGAGTCTTTAAGAACTTTGTTTCCTGATACAAAGGAAAAAAGTTAGATGTTTTGGTTGAACAGGATTTTCTTCTTAAAAAAACCCAACTAAGCCAACAACTAAAGAAACAACAAAAACCCAAAATGTAAAAAACCCCAACCAAACAATGGCACCCAAAAAGTAGCTTGTGTGCTTACAGAAGTTACTAAAACCATCAGAAGTCTACTAAAACCATTTATGACTTTTTTTGATTTGGTATGCTAGTTTTAGCGGAAAAATAATAAATTATAAGTTTTTATATGGCAATTTTAAGTTATTGATATTAAACGGTTCTACACTATAATGACATAGATAAAAAGAAGCAGTCCTACAATATTATATTTGTTTCTTTAGTATGAGCAGAGCTAAGTAGTTGTGTAAGATACTGTATCAGTGAGAAAATTTGCTGTTGAGGTCATACCCACAGAATCTAAAAATTCTCTATTATAGAGAGCTACATAGTCAGTACAAGACTTTCTGTTCAAGGAGTTCAGAGTTTAATTTACTCTAGTAGTTTCAAGATCCAATCCCCAGCTGTATTCTTGCAACAGGTCCTGTAATATCCAGTTTTCCTTTCTTGCAGCTTTTATAATGGATTTTATACAGGGAAATCAAGCGCTTTCTGAAGCCTTGCAGGAAATGACAGAAAACCTTCTGTTGTACCTATGTCTGCTGAGGAATACACCTAGTGCAGGAAGCTCTGTGTGCAGCTGCAGGTTGTGTGCTGAATGGTAGGAAACGGGGGGAGCCCCTGGCAAGGGGTCAGGACTCAACCCTTTGCACGGGGACCTGCGACACCAGCCAGGTGACTGGACACTCGGAGACTCCGCAGGAGCCGAGGACTGAGCTGGAAGACTGCAGAGTATCGGGGGCACAGCCTGTGGGGTATAAAAGCTCAGGGATTCCTTAGTTTGGGGCCCCTCCCGAGGTACAAACTCCAGCTGTTATTCTGTCACTGCAACATGATTAAATTACTTAAAGGAACCAGATGTCTGGGACTCTGGTATGGGAAGCTTGCGGCTGAGCTGGAAAGGGAAACTAAAAACTTGTCTGTCTGTGTGGGAGTGAGGTGTGCAGGGAGTGAAATGGGGCACCCGTAAAGTCACTGGAGCCAGAGGCTGCGAAGGGGCTTCAGTCCCGGCAGCGAGATTGTGATTGCCAGAGTGCCTCCTGAATAGTCATGGGAAGTTTCCTTAACAAACTAATCCTTCACCAGTTTTATGTGCAGTATTTTTCCTATTATGCCACTATACAAAGTTATATCCAAATCTTACTCTGACATTTCTAAAAAAACCCTGAAAAACCTTTAGGTTTTAATTGGTTCTAAAACAATTCCTGTATCATGGGGCAGAAGGAAGAAAGGAAAAGAGTTAGGTGAGATGATAAATTTAGTTTACAAAACTATTATTATGAAAACATTTGACACAGTTGTCATAGGTCAGAAGACACAAGACATTAGTATCTTTTAACTCTAAATAACACAGAAGATTCCTCACCTTCCTGAGTCTGATTCCAGAGGGTCATCATTAACAGAGTCTGCATTAAAATCCAAAGGTTCTGCATCCTGAAGGAGTTCTATTCTATCTCTTTCAGTCCTACCATTTGATCGGGTGTACTTTGATAGTGCTGAATAAGTAAAAGGAAAGAAAGACACTCATTTGCTCTGTGAACAGCTTGGAAACATCAAATTTAAAGCATTATAAATATCTCATAAATATTAATAAATATTTAATCCAAAGTGAAAGTGCCATAATTTAGAGCAGATTCAATGTTAAACCAAACTTGCTCAAATTTATAGTATTTCAGTTTTGTGCCTCCATAGAATACATGCAACTATGACTTTTCTTTTGCCCCTCAAATAGGATGAGATCTACCTTGTGAAGACACAATGAAAATGAGAAACTAGATGCAAACTTTATTTTTAAATCAAACAATCATCCATTCATCTTCACAGCTTCAGGTTTTAACTAAGCTAGCTGGAGCTTTTTTATTAACTTTTGCTTGTTTTTTAAAGAGACAGTCTCGTGAATTAATGGAATATATTTGTTTTGCAGTTTGCTCTGCCACCTTCACCAGGCAAGCTATGGCTGGTTTTGGTGTTGGAATGCTACAATGCTACATATGAATATGTATTCATATGGTGAACATTAAAATATAATTTTGGTTAGTCTACCACTAAAAATCTGGCTTTACAATGTGGTAAAGAGGAGGGGGAAATCTACCAGTGTTATCTCAAAAGCATATTCAAAGCTTCCCTCTTCCCCTCCTTTTTCTTCCTTTTTCTTCAGTTTCATTTTACTTGTTAGCTTACAGGAGTACAAAAAATGATCAAAAATGCATGAAAACCCCACTAAAAATCTGACAAATAAACTTTTGTGATGCTTTATACTTTCAAAAAAAGGAAGTATTTTGCTATCAGACATTATTAAATAAAAATGTACCCACTTGTGTGGTATGTTATTGGTTTCACGTTAGCTGGTCAACTGATTGCTCCATTATTCCAGTGTGAGATAGCTCACTTCCAAGCAGAAGAGTTAAATTTTGTGATTTACAACACCCAACTTCAAGACATATAAATTATTTTCTTTCCTGACAATTGCTACTCTAACTGCAATCATTATATATCCCATAAGACCAAGTAATTGGTCTCAGAGTAGAGCCAGAATCTCCAAACTCAACAAGCTGAAGTGTTGGAGATGGAAAGAAACACAGCACTCTTTTCAGTGTCTTAATGGCAAGACGGCACTGTGCCACAGAAGTGGATGCATCAGCACATCACCTAAGACAGGAAGGAATATATTTGAAACTATTCACACAGCCAGTGTTGTGCAGACAAGATAGTAAAAGAAAACAAAACAAAACCAACTTCCCCCCAAACCCACAAAGCTTACGTCTGTTGACATTGGTCTCTGTGAAGCTGGATTCTTTTTGGTCTGTGTGGACAGCTCTATTCCTAGTGGAATCATCTCTATTCCCGTATCGCTCCTTCCACTCCTAAAAAAAGACAACAAAAGAAAACATAAGCTGTGAGGATAAAGCAACACAGCAAAGTGCATGTGGGATCAAGGAATACCCAAGATTCATAGTTTAGAGCTGTCACAACAGATTACCCAAGCAATACTTTCAAAGTGTTCGTGTTCAGTATCGTGAATAATTTTTGTTTCATTTTAAACTCTAGATGTGTCTCTTCATAAGCCAGTAACCATAACTGTTCTTTAGAAAAAGACTTGCAGAAAACAAACTGTATCTCAAATCTGCACTCCAAGTTCACTCAACTGCTCTAAGTTATGGTGGGCACTGCTGCTTTTATTGATTACTACTTCCATCTAGTGGTAAAATGGAAAAATAACAGCACACAAAACCCCCAAACATTTGGACAGGCCACGTTCACTAAGCTTGTTGTTCTGTTGTTTCCATTCTGACACCTTTAGTATATAAACATTTTAGTATGAAGTATAAAGAAATACCAAAGAAGAAAACGACTCATGCTTTTATTAGGAATCAACTTCATGTCTCAATAGAAATGATTCTAATTGCTCTTTTGTATGTCCCATATTTAGATCCCAGATTACAGACTCGTAGGAACTGGTATACTCAAAAGTTAATGTGCTAATTTATGTCATATGTTACAATTCTAAACTGCAGAAGGATTAAACATTTAATCAGGATCCAGTAAAAGATGACACTCAAAAGCTCCAAAAAATGAATATGCTACCTTATTTATATGCTACAGTACTTAATGCAAAACTCAAAATAACAGGTAACATCTGAAACTTGAGCTTGCTGCTTAACTAAAATTTTTACCTGATGTCAGATCATTTTAGTGTATACTAAAGGTATCATGCACTCACTACTATTTTGTTTCACAACAGATTCAGGTTCTAAAATTATGAGATGGGGGCAGAGGATCAGAAGAAAGGTCTGTGCAGTACTGACTGCCATCAAGGATTAAAGTATACCTGAGGCTTGAAAAGCCAAGAGGTTTTAGTTGCAGTATTATCTTGCGTGCATCCTTTCTATTTATTTCTCAGACTTTCCATGCTAGATTCCAAATGTTATAAATTAATGAAAAACTAGAGCTTCACAAATATTTCAATTCAGTCTGCACACAAAATAGGATTTGAAACAAACATTCTGGTTTTTTGTTCAGCAGTAATAGTATTATTTCTATCTCAAATGTAATTACCTCCTCTGGCAAAAAAAACCAAAAAACAAAAAAAACAAACCAACAAACAAAAAAACCCCAGAAACAAACCAAACCAAAACAAACAAACCTGTGCCAGTTACTTTCCAGTACGCACGCAAAACAACAAGGTAAGTTTGGGAGGAGTACACAGTCCCCATTTTAGTGAATATGACAACACTGCAACTGCAGTTATTTCAAGCAGAGTAGTATGAATATAAGACACTGATAATAAGCCACTTCAGATTATTTGGCATACTAGAATTTGGGAACCTTTTCAATGCTTGTTACACCTACTGGCATACACCACAGCACGCTGAGTAACAAGAGTACCTAAGCAGTGTCACTCTTCTATAATTAACCCCCAACCAAGACTATTAAGCAAGATTCAACTGATCCCATCAATTATTTGGGACTACCATTTTTGTGGAAGAGATTATGCTGAATTAAATAGTCATGGCAAATCCTATCAAATATTGCAGTATAATATTATGATTATTAGATAAAACAATCTCATACCCTTCTTCTGTTTTCACCTTCTTCCTGCCTCTGTCGTTTTCTTTTCTCTATAAATAAAAAAAACATTATTTGTCTGAGCTCCATACAAGAAAAATCATTAGCACCTTCTTTTTTTTAATCAAACAGTGAAAATCCAAAGTTAACTAGTAGGTTCTTACTAAAACAGACAACTCATACAACTAAACAAAAACAAAACAAAAAGCTGCTTGTCTATCATTATAGAGTTTCCAATCAAAATGAATTTGTGATGATGGTATCTTGGGTCACAGCATATTTGGCTACCAGCTGGCAAAGCAAAAAAAAAAAAAAAAACTCTCAGAAGTAGCTGGGAAAAGTATGACATTATAAAAAACTTGAGCAGTATCGAATCAAGATCTTGCTGAAGCTCTGTGAGGCCCAAAGTATGACCCAAATACTTTGTGTCCACATCTGCTATGCAGTTGGGAGTATAATATCACAGTATCAAAGCAATCATAACCTCTTGTTCAGAGGAATGAGAAACATTAATCTTTCTCCAAAAAAAGAGGAAAGTACTACTCTAAGTAAATTCAGGTTTCATTTTTCATGAACTATCAGAATAAAAGGATTCCATAATATAACACTATATCCTGAAATTTTAATTTCTAAGCATTTACTCAAGAACCACAATGGCTTTTAACAATTTTGAAGAAACCCTTTGAATAAAAATTAACCTAAAATAAAAAGCTTTCCAAACCAGCAGATAATTATTGCTCTATAACAACATGCTTTCTCTGATAAAACACAGTTAGCTGACACAGCAAAAACAGCCATGGAAATGACTGAACTCATGCAGCTTAATCAACACACACAAAGATTAAAATGAGTTTGTTGATGATAAACACAATTCAGATGTTAACCATCATTTATGAAAAAAGTACCTGCTTAGGTATTATTAGATCAGTAACACACTGTAAAATATTTAGAAATATCTAAAATTCAGATACTTGATGAATAAAACTGGTACTTCACTTTAGATATCAATGAAGTCCATAGCAACCACAGTCCTGTAGGTCTGTTGCATTTTGTATTATGGAGTGCCTCAGTATAGTCTTCAAAATAGTAGTAAGATAAGCTTTTTTTTTCCCCTGCATCATTTCAGACAAATTGAATACAAAAACATATTACATGATGAGGAAAAGGCCAAGGTAAACTTAATGCCTTTTTTTGCCTCTGTCTTTAAGAGTAAGATTAGTTGTTGTCTGGGTACCAAGTCCCCTGAAGTGAAAGACAGGGATGGAGAGCAGAATAAAGCCCCCAGAATCCAAGGGAAATGGTCAGTGACCACTGCTACTACTAGGCAGTGACACTACTTAGACACACACAGGTCTACGGGGACAGATGAGATCCACCCAAGGGCTCTGAGAGAGCCGGTGGAAGTGCTCACCAAGCCACTTTCCTTTCAATTTTCACTTTGGTCACAACAACCCCCTGCAGCACTACAGTACTGGGACAGAGTGGCTGGAAAGAGGCCCAGTAGAAAAGGACCTGAGGGTGCTGGTCAACAGCAGCTGAAGATGAGCCAGCAGTGTGCCCAGGTGGCCAAGAAGGCCAATGGCATCCTGGCCTGCATCAGGAATGGTGTGGCAGCAGGAGCAGGGAAGTGATTCTTGCCCTGTACTCAGCACTGGTGAGGCCACACCTGGAGTGCTGTGTCCAGTTCTGGGCCCCTCAGTTCAGGAAGGATATTGAGGTGCTGGAGCAGGTCCAGAGAAGGGCAATGGAGCTGGGGAACGGTCTGGAGCAAATGTCTGATGAGGAGCCACTCAGGGAGCTGGGGGTGTTGAGCCTGGAGAAAAGGAGGCTCAGGGGTTGAGACCTTATCACTCTCTATAACTACCTCAAAGGAGGATGTAATAAGCTGGGGGCTGGTCACTCCTTCTAAGTAACACACAAGACAAGAGGAAACGGTCTCAAGTTGTACCTTAGTTTGGACACTAGGAAAAAATTCTTTACTGAATAGGTTGTCAAGCATTGAAACAGATTGCTGAGGGAAGTGACGAAGTCATCACCCCCAAGGATATTCAGAAGATGTACGGCACTTGGGGACATGGTTTAGTGGTGAACTTGGCAGTGTTGGGTTCACGGTTGGACTCATTGATCTTTGGGGTCTTTTCCAGCCTTGATGATTCAATGGTTCCATGATTTTTTTAGGAAGACTACAATAGAGGACCCAATTTACCTCTTCTGATTAGCTCTTTTCCTTCATCAATCAAATCAGAAGTCATTTCACTATCCCCCATGAACTGCTGGAATCCCAAAAGATTCAAACAACGAGTTCCTAAACTGGTAAAAGAAGAAGGAGAAGTAATTTCCTTTGTTAATTTACAATGAACAGTTCAGATATATTACAATGTAAGATGTAAAACTAATTATTCAGAAAATTATCGACAATACAAGTAAAAAAGCAACACAGAAGAAAAGACGGATGTTTATACTAGCTAAGAAACCACAAAATTCAGAACAGTAGCACATTCTTAAATCCAGCTGAAAGTGATGGAATAATCCCATCCAAATAGAGAAATAAAATTGTATATAGTCTGAGAGTAGTGTAAATGATTTAACACAAGTCATTTGCTTTAGGTATTCTCAGATATAACAGCATTTATGATATGCAACTGACTCTTCTTTGCCAGAAAACAATTACTGTAAAATTACTATGATTTCTGTATTTTTGAAACCGTAATAACAAAGGAAAGTCTCCTTCACCTCAGGTTTCACTTAGGAGAAATGTGTGCCATACTCTTAAACTGTAGGGATGCTGGCTGCCATTTTGAAGAGCTGTTAGGCAGCAGTCAGAAAATAAGATTGTTCTACCTTTTTTAAGCTAGTCCTGGAACTAGATAGCAGGAAACCACTTTCACCTTTTCAACTTCACACTAGAGAACAAAACTGCTGTTTTTGTTATTATTTCCTTTCTCCAAACCGGAATAACAACGTCATGCTCCAAACTGGCTTCACTGTGTATTTATGCTGAAGTTTTTTTCTTATACTATCTGAACTTTAAGAGTGCTGGATTAAACAAAGCTTAAATCAAGTTTTCCTTGATGGATTTCAATTGAATCTTCATTTAATTAAAGCTTTTGCATGTATCTGAATTAGCAGAGGTCACTAAAGCAACTTCCTCTCCTTTAATTTCTATTCTTCCTTTTCACCGTGGCATTCAAGATCCAGCATCACCACGGACAAGAAATCACACAAACCCTTTTCTCTTTTCTTGTCATAGGTTTTCCTGTTTCATTTTGTTTTGTTTTGTTCTGATGTTTGTTTTTCCTCCACCACCACTTTTGAAGCTTAACCAAAAAGTAAGTGTGAAAAGCCCAGATCCTTGATATTTATCTATAGATGCACATATAGTATTAATAGAAATAAGAGGCATTTAACTACATTGTATATGACTAAAAACATATACATTGCTTCTGACTGAAAGGTAACGCAAAATTAACATCAGTGTATCTGAGCAAGGTCAGACCAAAAGTATCCTGTCCCTTCAGTGTTCAAACCAGACATTTTGAAATATAAGGACAAATCAAGCATGTAGCAGAGTTTTCTACAATTACCCTTCTACCCTCCAACAAACTGTGGCTTAGGGAAAGAAGATCATATTATTTAAACCAGTATGCTTTCAAACCAAAGCCTGCTAACACATTAGGAATTTTTTGCAAGTCTGTTAGAAGTTCAACACCTAAAATTTCTGCTAATGCCTCTTAGTTCATTAGAAAACCTTGCTGAAAACATAGTTTCCTCATGGTAATTTTAATCTCAAGCAGAATCTAGATGCCCCAAGGCTCCAATGTTCTAATGGATCACCCCTCAAAATCTAGGAATGAAGTTTAATGGGGGGGAAAACCCTCAAAACCCAGCTATGGTTTAACACAATCTATATTCTTAAAATGTACATATTTCACCTATATAAATAGCAATTTAAGATTTTGGTTTTGCATTTTCATTAATACAACACAACTCAACTGCTGGAAAAGAAGTATTGAATATCTTCCTGATTTAGGAAACTAATCTTATTAATGTAAAGAAACATGGAGGATCTGTATTGCAAATCACTTACCTAAAGTACGTGGCGATACAGAGAATGACAACAAGCATTGGGTAGTATATATAGAATCCATCTGCAATGAAGGACAGCACTCTCATGGATCCCATTATCTAGGGAAAAAAATCCACAAGAACAAGCTTTAATTAGCTATATTCTATGTATACCATAAAGATTGCGCCATCTCACACGAACATACAAACCTTTACAGTTACTGAAACATAGGCACATATTATCATCACAGATCTGATTCAGACAGTTGAGCCAGAATCAGCAGATATAAAGGCCACCTCAGTGTATCTATCCACTTCGGGGTTTCTAGGGGCCTAGATTTTGTTGCCTCTCCTAGTTCAGAACAAGTGTAAGTGCGGTGGATTTTTTCATTTCCTGTGAAAGGAGTCTTAAGACAACACTAATAATCGAGTCACTAGCAACAAGATTTAAGATGTGAGATGTAACTTGCAACAGAAACCAGTTCAACAAAAAAAAACTCACTGGTTTTCAGTAGCAAGTTAGGTTTGCTCCCAATCTATTGAGAAGTCCCACACGCTAAAGCCAGTGGAAGCTAAAGCTACTAGGAAGTGAAGGCTGAACTCTAAAGTACAGTATTTTACTTTCTTATGATAAAGAGACAAAACTAGAAAAAGTTACCTGTTTATGACTCCTAGAAATCATTACCAAGTTCCTGGTCCACAACCAAGTATTTTTACCCAGTTTAATACTAGTAAAAAGATATTTGAGTGTCTGAACCTTATTATAAGAAGTATTTAAAAATACTTTGCCTCTTTTCTAAACCATATCGAAGGCTCAAACCCACATTTTCTGTACTTACAGATGTATAAGCAGTTGGCTGAGTGTTCTTGTGAGAGATTGTTGCATCCATATGGGTCAAGCCCAAAAAGTTCAAGCACAATGGTGGAGTAAGACGGCAAAATAACCTGCACAAATGCAAGAGGCAAGAGCATTTGAAAGAATTGCTTACATTAACTGCAAAATCATAACTGAATCTATCACAGAATAATGATAAACAGCTCATTAGGATTTATACCCATACAATTATAAATTAAAGAACATAAAGTTTCATGGACATTTTCAATTGTGTATTTGATAGGAAATCCGCAAAATACATAAAAAAAAAGTGGTACATACTCACATGCCACTGAAAAGGAGACTGTATGCATCTGTCTGATGATGTGAAGCTAAGTAGTAATAGTTAAATACACGGATCCTGAAGACAGTAGAGTAAACACAGATACTTAGGAAAAAGATGGTAAGAAAACAGGCCATCTGGGGGGGGAAAAAAAATGTTGCTCTTTGAATATAGAACTTTACTAAAGGTTTCCAACTAACTTAAATTGAGAATTGTAACATTCTACATATAAGTTAACACAGATGACCTTAGGAACTTGGACATCTTGTTATGTAAATAAAATTTCTGTAATTGCCTCAGTAATTACTATGATAGATTTGACATTTTTTCCCACAAAAATGGGATAAAACCAAGTGTTTTCATATCAACCTTATGTAAGTACACTAGAATTTTTCAGCTCAGTTCCTTTACTGATAAATTTGGGCACACATACGGTACCCACATCTGTGACTGGATTCCTGGTCATCAGCAAATTCCTGTTCAGGAAAGAGAGGTCACACACAGCTGATTAGACACAAAGTCTAATTAGAACCTAAGCTCTAAGCTGATGATTCAGAAATTACTCTGCACATGATATTCAGCCCAGCTGGGTCACACCTTGACCTGGTATTGGAGAGGTTTAAGAAGCGGCAAAAGGCAGACTGCCTCCATAGAAACAAAGTTTGATACAATATATTTAAAGACCATCTGAAAGTTGACAGATTATTTAGAGATTTATTGTTAAATCTATTTGACAGACTTTGTTATCATAACCACCCATCTGAAAATATTTTTGTCAAGTGACTGTCTCCAACTTACCTCTATGTATATATAATTATATGTCTTTTCTGCCAGCTGTATGAAAACTGCAAACAGCGATAGAACTGGTTTTGTGCTGAAAAATGTGCACTCTGACCACACAACAATTACAGAGAATGTAGCTAGCACAACGGCAAGCACTCTGTAAAACCATGGCCGTAGAAGACATTCCCAGTACCACTCTGGAAAAGACAAATGCACACACATATCAAGAATGGGTTAATGAAAATTACAAAAGCAGAAATATAACTCCCTCATAAGAGATGTTATGAACTTCCTGCATGCCCACCCTTAAAATCAAGGCTGGCATCTATGGGGTCACACACTTAATTTCAGGGCTTTTCCAGTCTAGAGATCTGCCTCAGCCCTAAGGAATCCTATGCCCAACTGAGGAAAATAGGGTGAGATTTGAGGAGGCAAATTTTGCAAACAGATTGAGGGGTGTGGGGTATGTAGAACAACTCTCCAGTTTTGGCCCAGATACTATCAGTGATTCACTTCTTGTTTTTCATCTGTTACTTTCTCAGAAACAAAGCTTAGGTTGTAAGATTTTATTGTCCTGCCTTGGAAATAACTCACTGTTACTGCACAACAAATTATATGTTAAAACATGATTAGGAAAAGACACTTTCTGAAAGATGCACAAACAGCCACACATGTTAATGTTTGGTATGTGACACATGAAGTGTCACTTCCTCTGCTTTACTGAAGAGCAGTGCCACCTCCATAGACCCCACAAATGTAGAAGATGGCCATCATCCAATTGTTTAGGGATGCTATTTTCTTTCTTCTTCTAAGGTTTTACAATTTGCTACTGCTTTATTACAACATGTAACTGCTACTAGACGTGTAAATAAAATTTAAGCTTATGGTCAAGAGCATGAATTACTAGCTATTCCATTCCATAAATGCATTAAGCTTGTACACTTATTTCCCTCTACTGCAGCTGAACTTTTAACATAAAACAATTGGTTCTTACAAAACAGTATCAGTTATGCCTTGACAGACTAAAAATCTGCAAGCCAGCACTTACCAACAGTTGGTGTGTAGAAATACTGAATAATTTTATTCTCTGGTTCCTGGGAATGAAAGGTATGAACAAACTGACGCGTAGCACTTGTTTCATTTTTTGCCACATCTTCGAAGTAAAACGCCTGCTCCAGAAGAATTTGCCACTGGACCTGTGTACGACGGTGTCTCTGTACTGAATAGATCACCTACGATAAATTGCAAGAAACTAGGGTTACAATGTACTTGTTTCAAGAAATGAGAGAAGAGCCTTGCAAAATCCTTCAAAAACGTGTGCACTGCACAATTACAAACTTGGTATATTCATAAAAGTGGGCAGTTAATTCTCTAAATACAAAAATCACAGAAGAACTTCATACTGGATTCCTAAGTTTTGCAGTACTTTTATCACAATCCATCAGTAGCAGTAACAGCCTACTTTTTTCAACACATGACTTTATTTTTGCATTTTAGTATATATCAAGTTTTTACTATAATTTCTTTTTCAGGATGCACTGTCAATCACTTGCAAAGTCATTACAAGGCCTACTGACAGACAGCTAGAACACTATTAAGATAAAACACAAGAAGCACACTTTTCAAATCATCCAGAATTTTGATCACTTGGGATATTAGATTTCTGTGTTTTCTTTTACCAAGAAAAGTTTCTGCTAAGTAGCATTCCCAAAACCCATTATACTCAGCAATTCAGGAAAAGTGCATTGAAAATCTTTGTCTGACTATCATTTTCTCTCATTACATCATAGTAAGTTAGGTATTCTCTCATTTATTAGTATACCTGCTTGTGAAGTTTGACCAGACTTTTCTCACTTGGATAACTGTTCTGTCTTTCATCAAAATCTTCATAATCATCCATGTTCCTACCCATTCTTTCCTGGTACTCAGTAGGACACTGGAAAAGGAAAAGGGAAAATTAACTGGAAAATGAAGGAGTAGCAAGTGCTCTTTGTTAATTATTAGTAAACGTCTGGGGCATTTTTTCATGCAACAGAAAAGCTCACCCTAAGCAAACATTTTTCTCTTTCTAAAATACTATGTACATCAAAATACAGCTAATAATTACGCATAGTAAGAAAGGATTTCACAAAGAAACTCAGAAGATGCCAAATAGGGATTTCATATTAAGAGAAAAAGAAAATAATGTACAAGTACATGCAGGAAGCACAGGCTCCCAACTGAACAATTATAGATGAAGATGAGAAATTTGTTACCTTTTTCAGTATTGTATCAACACATTTTCTCAAGGGGTGGTTATATTTGATACTCTCACTTACTTTACGGACTTCCTGTTGAGGAAAAAAAATACAGAGTAGTGTATTCATGTTATATAAAAAATTCAAATAAAATAAATTTTTAATAAATTATAAATTTGTACATGGTCAAATAAGAGTTGCAGCCTTCCCAATGGAAAAGACAGCCATCAAAGTCTAAAAAAACATACAGCTCTGTAAAAGTCATAGCTTTACTAGGTCTAATAAAAGGTAAGTGAAGTGTTTATGAAGTACATATATGTATATTTAAAAAAAAAAAAACAAAATACTAGTGTGCAAACATTACTATACAAATGTGTGGAGGATTGTTTTCTATTGCCACAAGTGTTCAACACCAGGAAATCCAGAGCCTATTAACAGCAGCCTTCATTTATTTCATAGTGAAAGCTAGTTACTTACCTCCATAATATCCTCTAAATTCTCCTCTGCATCTGCTTTTTCAGTCATCAGTTTGGCAGCTTTGAAATAAGTCTTCATGAGTAGATAACCTCTCTTGGCCCCATTCCAGTGAGAACGGGGGATTTCCACCAAACCATAACCCAAAAGCAACACAAGAAGAAAGAGACCCCATGTGTTTGCAGCAGCTATCCCAATAGTCTGAAGTTGGTTCCTAAGGAAAAGAAAAAATAATATTAAACGAAATTAAACCAAACACCAACAAAAATCCCAAACCAAAACTAACAAACAAAAACACACCCCAGCATCCTCTTACCCCACCTGCAAGAAAGAAGCCTTGAAGTATGAATGCACCAATATGGCTTTCAAGTTTACAGCAATAGACTTAGTATCACCTCTAATTTTTGCCTAGAGCCAGTCTGCTATTTAGCCATATTTAAAGTTCCCATAATTTTTCTGTATCTCACATGTTTCTGACGCCCCTCTAGAAGGAAATAAAAAATGTCTGTTCTCAAAGAAATATGTTCCTTTAGGAAACAATATGAACTTACCAAAATTATTGAAAATGAGGTCAAAACACCACAATGGCAGTCTCTATGAGAAACAGCCTCAGAAACTGAGATTTGTTTTCAGAATATTGTATTCAAAATTTGTATTCCATCTAGTACGGAAGACCACTAGCAATGTTATAAATGCCAATTATTTTAACTTTCCTCACCATCTTTAAATAGTCCACAGGAGACCGAAGTGCTACACAGAAAACACTGACTTTTGAAATACGTCGTTCTGAAAACACTGATTGTTTCTGCATTAACTCTGCAAATGTGTTTGTAGGGAGAAAAAAAAACAGCACTGCAAATGCAAGAGGATTCCTCTGCTGTACATATAAAAATCAGAAAACAAAAAGACAAATTCCTATAAATAGTCAAAAAAGCACTTTTCATATAAAAATTTAACTCTCCAACTGCGTAGCAAAAAATTTTATCAACTAAAACTGTGTTTTTTAAAAAAGACTCATTTCATCTACGGAAGTGATTACTAGTGAAAAGTATGTAAGAGCTCACAGAAGTGCTTACAACATTGTTCTTACCATTGCAAATTGAAGTTTGGATTTACAGCCACATATATCAAAAACGCCCCAAAAATCAGCAAGTAAGTGCCATAATATATTGCATTCTCAATCAACGCAGTTTTAATCTTTCCAGTAATGGAGAACCCTCCTGATCTTGCATACGACTGCATGAAAGGTAGCAGAATCCTGGGAGAAAAGCAAACAAAACCAAACCACATCAACCAACCAACCAACTCCAAAACCAAAACAAAAACCCCCAACCAAACAAAAAACCCCCACCAACAATAACAAAACAAAAACCCCAACCAAAACAACAAAGCACCCCCCCCACAAAAGTACTATGGCAGTGCCAGAACGCTGAGACAGAGGTGTTAAAGCTTAAGGCTCCCAAGCTTCAAACAAATTAGCTATTAAATATTTTCATTCTAGATGTACTTGTCTGATGGCAAACCTTAACCACGATGTAGATAAAAACAACACAGTCAGCTTTACTACAAAAAACCTGTGATAACTAAGCACTGACTACTAGCCCTGATATTCTTAATTGAACTACAAAAATTATTATTTGGTGACAAGCTGATCAGAAAGCACACATTAATCTAACCCGAAAGCACAGACAATCTTTTCTCTGTAGTATATTTACTAATACAAAATAATTTACAATATTACTTACAAATTACCCAGCTTATTCATGGAATTGTTTTTTCAGACAACCTTTTTTTCAGACAACCTATCCATAAACATGTAAATTTCTCCGTTTCAAGTACAAAAATGAACCAAGAGTAAATGGCTGCCACCTGAAATTTGCTTCTACGAGAACAAGTAAAAAACGAGTATGCGCAATTTATACTGAAATTATTATGGAAATTTCAGTGCTAGCAAATAATATATGACTTAAGAGCTCTTTGCAATAGTGATACACATTCTTAAATAATATGTTATGACTGTTAAGATGTTGCATTTAGAAATTATACCTGTATCATGGTCTTATTCATATTCTTTTGCCTTACTTACCATGTTAGAAACTGAGACGTCCAATACACAACACGCCAGAAAATTGGCATAATTCCATTAGGAATATAACTCCAAGGTTTGAAACATTTTTGTTTGCTGTAACAACGTAATAAAAGCAAACTGTTAACTGTAGAGCCAAGAGTATAAAAATGTTTTCTATGAATTCCCTATCTAGAAAGGTCTCTGAAAAGAGCAGAAAAGTAATGCAATACTATTTGAGTAAGTAGTCAATGATTAACTACCTCAGAAAGAAATAAACTGAATCATCAGTTAAAAATACATACTGTTTTCCTAACTCCAAATAACCTATCTGGACAAGAAAGGTTTCTTAGAGAAAATAACAGAAGCTCGAAGATTAGAGTGGAATATTCAATCAAGCAATTTAAGGTTAAAATTTTTCTTTTTGGGCAGAAATTACTTCATGTAAATCAAAAACATTTCTGAAGACAGAACACTATTTAACTTTAGTTAGCTCTGCAGGTTTTAAAAAAAGTATCTAGGGACCTCATTACTAGAGCATTTAGTGGTACAGAAAGTGTATTAGTTGTATCTTCTGCCACCTAGCTGGATTCAGTCAGTCTTACACAAATTTTGGTTTGTTAAGCCAGTAGTTTTCTAACAGGTAGTATTTGCTTCAGAAGACCAGAAAAGCCACAGGAGCCTTCTTATTAAAAAAAGAAAGAAAGAAAGAAAGAAAAAAGAACAAAAGGCAAGGTGTCCCTCTTCACTAAGACACTTTTCACACATGTGTTTGGGTAATGAAGCAATGATGAGTCAAGGGCAGTAAAGTCAATTTAGACAGAATTGCCTAATGATAAATAATCATAATCGGTGTTTTCCAGGGTCAAACTAGTTAAGCCTGAGTTGTAAAATTTTATGGGTAAGGCCTAAATATTTTCAAAACTATTAAATTATGATAGAATGACAGGTAATGTGATTAAAGGTTTCTCCACCTGTCCTATGAAGACAGGTTGAGAGAGGTGGGGTTGTTCAGCCTGGAGAAGGCTCCAGGGAGACCTCACTGCAGCCTTCCAGTACCTAAAGGGGCATTATAAAAAGGTGGGAGAGGGACTTTTTATAGGGGCAGAGTGGACAAGAGGCAACTGTTTTAAACTGAGAGAGGGCAGGTTTAAATTAGATACTAGGAAGAAATTCTTTACTGCAAGAGCAGTGAGACACTGTCACAGGCTGCCCACAAAACCTGTGGATGCCCCATACCTGGAAGTGTTCAAGGGCACGCTGGATGGGGCTTTAAGCAACCTGGTCTAGTGGAAGGTGTCCATGGTGGGGGGTTGGAACTAGATGATCTTTAAGGTCCCTTCAATAAGCATTCTATGATTCTATGAAAAAGGTTTGTCTGAAGCTATAGGTAAATTGAAAGGTTACTGAATAGTTTTCAAGTTGAGTATTTGCTTAACTATGTTTAATTAACATACACTTGGTGGTTGTAAATAAATATTGCAATATTGTGCCAGTGAGTCTGTCATTTCACTGTTCTTCCACAGATGTACAACACCCAGACAGCCTCTGCTTTGGGGTGACAAGCCTGGAAACATTTTGCATGGACATATCAACTGACATCTTAAAGGCTCTGATCATCTCAGATAACTACACTGTACACATCTACAGTGTGGGGAAACAGTCAGCGGAGGCTGAAGAATGAGAGGCCACAGAAAGAGCCCACATTCATCTACATTCATCATGTTTTAGGGATTACTTTCTTCCTGCCATAAGACAACAAACAGGTTTATCATTGCTTTGGTAGAATACAGTGAATTTCAGATAACTCCAATTACTATATATATGTAATTATAAAAAGCAATTAGATATCCTGCTTATATATCAGACAAGTCTGTTAATTTCATTCATAAGGCATACAATTATATTTTTCAGGTTTAAAGTCTTAAAGATTGTGAAGGATAGATAAGCATTCACCAAAATGTCTCCTCATAACCAAGACTACTCAAAAAGCTTAGTTCTACTGCTTTAACAAAAAAAAAAAAATCTAGTGTGATAAAAAAACAGCTGGGTAACCAGTCAGAACTACTGTATAATACTCCCAACACATACAGATGCACTTTTTTGCACCTCTTTCCTCACCTTTCTGTATGCTTAAAACCTTCAAATGTTGCATCACACAGATGACATTTGTTTATTAGCCATAAAAACACAATACACTCCAATCAACTAAGAAAATCATAAAATACTTCTTTAAAAACAGTCTAAAGAAAAAACAGGTAGCTCATACCTTGGAGCAATAGTAACGTAAGAGCCATTACTTTCTGCAGGACTGGAGTTAACAGCAAGTTTGCATCGATTATAAATAGTCTAAAAGAGAATTCATTTTGCATTAATGACCAAAAAGGCATAGCATTTTTTAAAAATAGTAAGTCCCATTTTAAAGACATTCCATGTATTCCAGGTTTATATTTGGAAGCAATTATACTAATAAACACTCAAAACAATATGGGATTCGCATGCAAGTAAAAAGCTGAAAGTGTCTTTATCCTGCCTACACAGACAAAGAAAACTGTTATAAACAAATAACAAAATTCTAAAATGTTTGAAATAGATTTTTTTATCTGATGAGATCAACAGACAGTAAAATTAATTATAACCACAGACACTGACATGTATAAAGGTAACTAAAGTTCAACTTAATATGATAGTACATGGAAAATTTTATTCCTGTTTAAGAGGTTGTCTTCTGAAAGCAGTAATTCAGAAAAAATACCATACACATTTTATGCAATTACGTAGAAAGTCTTTCACGTTTCTTACCGTACTGACATCCAGAGGCAGTATAAATACAATGAGGAAGCAGAGATACCACGCCAACAACGTTGCTATGATCACAAGCCTATGCTGTTTCTTGAAGTCCCCATACCGATGGAGGAGGAATAAGGCCAGAAAAAAGACAAACACTATCTCAAGGCCCAGCGCTGCACCACTCATTGTTGAACGATCGCTCCAGCCACACAGCGCAGCTCAGTGGAGAAAGCAGATCAGAACTGCAGGACAAAAAGACAAGGAACTCCATTAAAATCTCTGGAAGATACTTAGGCAGAAAAGAGTTGCTCAGTGGATATTTTCAAACTTATGAACAGAATTTTTGTATTTCACATGACTGGAACTCTGGTCAGATGTAGAACAGGATTTTCAGCAAGGTGCTCTGAAGTCCTCTATAGAAATCAAAATACGTAATTCCAATGCTGTCCTTTCTAGTAATGTATCAGGACAACTCCTTCCTGTTCATCACCTTGATACACAACAAATCCATAATCAAATCTCTGTCCTTGAGCAGACTACTAGCCTTACTTTAAGTCCACTATAAATTTCAAGAGGAAAATTTATTCTGTTCTTTTCCCCCCTTTTAGAACTAATCAACTAATTTGGATGAAGGCTTAAATGTTTAAATTAAATGTTTCTGGAAAGCTAATGAACAACTTTTTAAATGAACCATACCTCAACTACACATTTAAATTCTTTAGTCAGAGTTAACAAAGCATAAAAATGCAGCAAAGTATGCATTAGCCTACTTGCGATGTATCTCTTTAGGTTTGAAATGTCAAGAACTTCAATTCACTTTCCTAGCCCTCTTTTGTTCATCTTCAGAAAAAAAAGTCTCAACTCATTTGGTATTAGTCTTGCCATGATACATTTTTGCTTTGCTCATATTTTTGTGTTTAGTTCCCTTTTAAAGTCTGAACTGCTAAGAGTGCCTAAAAACTTCACACATTTTCATATACACATGCTATTTTCAAAGGGACAGTAAGCTGCACAAATCTATTATGGAATGTTTCACTAACTTGTTACATCATTAGTTAAACTGCTTCAGACCTTTTTAATAAGCGTCATTTTACCACAGGCACTTCACACATTATTAAAAAAAAAAAAGTTTATTACTGTGGCCAGTCTTGCTTCTCCATCAAGATTACAATTTCAGCTAGTTTGATTTAAGTGAAATAGTTTTTGAAATGGCCTCCCCACTGTTAGACTTCCAATACTTTCACTTTTCTGGAGATTTAAAAGGAATGCTACAGTTAAAATTTCCCTTGATCTACTTTTATATACCTACACAATTTGGTAAAGTGAACCATTTCTTTTACTAATTTCTCAGTATACTGCTTAAGCAGATCTGTTACGCATGAGGGTACTAAGCAGTAAAAACTGTCCTACTTGCACTAAAAAAGTCCAAAGTTTATGATGCCATTACTTCCTTGAGGACACACAGGACAATTACTCTATGATTTTTTTCCCCAAAAAATTCGTTTCTCCACATTTTCCACTTTCACATCTCAATTTTAAACAGTAACAGCAGTCTGTTTCCTCCATATCAGCACAGAGGATCCCACATTCTGAAAATAACTCCAGTAACCCTCCTGTTTTTCGTCAAAGATACACACACTTCTTATTTTCTGCCTTTCATCAAACATGTTTATCAAATTATTAACATTTCTGTCAGGCCAAAGCATCCCCTTACTACCTGTCTGAACTACATTTTGGCTAGACATTTTGTAAGTCATGAATCCAGGATATCTAACCTCTTTCTCAATCACTTATTCTAAGCAAATCTTCATCTATTCTATTGTACCATTCTTGTTTCCCCAGAAAACAGTCTTTTGTATTTATACTATTGCAGCAAATTCCACAAAAGTAAAAACATCAAAGCAATTATGTATCAAGTTAATTAAGGCAGTGCTATCTGACATGTAGCTTTGGGTGCCCATTATAGCCACACGTTTGCTACGTAAACAAAAGAAATTATACACCATACACTTCATTAGTCATGAAGTTTTACTACAGTCACACCTAAAAGGCTGCTATCAAAACAGAGGGTGAAAAGTTTTTGTGCAAGATGCTGCACTGGCTACTACCATGAGGGAACTTCTAGAAGTACTATAAAAATGGATAGGCTAAAACAAAGAGGGAATTGAGTCCCACCACAACTTAACTTACTTTCAAAGACAAAAGTGGATTTACAGTTATCACTAAACTGTTTGTCCCTGTGATTTTGATCTAAAAACACAAAATGAAAGGCCAATTTTTTTACAAGAGTGTGACTAATAACAGTTATTTTGAATTAATTTACTTACAAACAGTTTAAAATTTTTAGATATAAACCACTTAAAACTAGCTCTCCACACAAACAGCTTAAATTGAAAAAAAGTCCACAAAGTGAGAAATGGAATGCTTGAGAGGAGCTCTTCCTGTGAACTAAATCCAGCTTAACAGGGCAGACACATTCAGGACCTGTGCTACTAGAATCAAACCTTAAAATACAGTATTGTAGGCTTTAAGACCATGTCTTCGTGTGGACAGCAGCACTTGCCTCTGAACCCGGTTGTTAGTTCAAGGAAAGGTAAGCTCCTTACCCATCATTCTGTTTCTTCACTTTATTTAGACAGCCTTCTCACTGTTAGCACACAGCTCCCTAGTAACTGCTAGCTGAAATTCCTGAACCTTTAAAAAATGTTCTCCTGAGATAAACTACTCCTGAGATTAACTACTTCAGAAGAGTTCTCTTGTATTGCACAACCTTAAATGACTTGGAAGATGCTCCAAGTAATGACAGTAATGACAAAGTAACACAATCCCTCACAATGAATGAAGGAGTATTTATTGTCATACTCCGTTTCTGAAAAAACAGGCAACTACATATTAATACAAATAAGATCAAAGGCTGAAACTTTGGTAGTGGAAGTGCAACTTAACCAAAAAAAGAAAAGGATATGCTCTTGTTTGGCTTAGGGTTTTCTTGCTTCATTTCAGACACAGAACAAATCAGTTAAGTTTTTAATTTTACCCAGCTAATAACTCTTTGCAAGCATCGGGAAGGGCTCGGTTCAGACTTAATTCCCATGGAGACTCCCTGCTATCAACAGTATTAAATTACTCTGCAAACCTCAAGACTAACCACACTCACGACCATCTACATTACAAATGAACTAACTACTCTGCCTGGTACAGAAATACTCAAGTTACTAAATGAAACCGCAGAGAATGAAAAAACCACACTTCCTTACAGCTTTTATACAGCACCAAATTTATCAAAGACACTCCAATATTATATTCTTAAAGAAGGGCTAGAAGGAGCAGAGCATATCTGTGAAGAAAGAACCTTGGTCTCACTAAAGTGGATTCCAATACCCCTTTAATCAGAAATCCCAGACCAGACTGTACCCTAGTTGCTTGGGGTTTTTCTTCAAACTTTGCATGAAAACATTTTACCAGCAGACTGTTCCTTTTGTAGACTAATGTAATTGGTGCTTCTTTCCCATTAAGCCTACTACCACACTTTCTGCAGATTTCTCACTGCTGCCCTTGACACTCCTCCCAGCTTACCCTCTTCCTTCTACAAGGATGAGGAACTGCCCCAGTCTCTCAGCTAATGCCTGAACTGAGAGTAAACACTGCTTCACATGCCTGAGAAGCATAAATAGAACTAAAACCTGAGTGATATTCCCTTCACAAACTCAGCTTATTATGCCCTCCAAATTCTTTTCCTCCAAGACACTGTTCTCTATCATGTATTTCTGTAGTTGATTGCTCCTGCTTAAGCACAAACACAAAACTCCGCTCATTTGTACCCATTCCCCTCTCACAAGTTTCTAAATCTTTAAGGTATTTTGACTTCCATTACTACACCAAAAAGACTTGAAATTTCTCCTAGCTTTGTGCCTTCTTAAGTTTTAATCATGACACTATTTCATTAGGGAAACTGTGAAAACCATGAAGAGTAGTTGACAAGGGACTGGCCTTCTTAGTCACAACAGTAGCCCTTCCCAGCTTTCCTTCCCAAGCAAAAACATCCAGAATCAAAAGTCCTATTAAGACAAATATAAGACATCAACTGATCCTCTCACAATAGGTCTATCAGTCACCACTGAAATAAATTAGACCATTTCAACCATTTGTCCTTGACAAACTGATGCTATCTTTTACTCATCTATTATACTCTAGATGCTTACAAATAGCTTTTGTGACAGATTTTTTTTTCAGGAATTCAGAAAGAAGCAGAGAAGTCTGCCAATCTATAGCTCTCCCTGTCCTTCAAATATTAGTAATAAGGACAGCCACCATGCTTTCTAGTTTTCCTTTGGTACCTCAGCCATTTCTAGAATACGACACACTTTTTTCCTTCAAGTATTGTCAGGTAGAGCTCAAACAGATCTGGAAAAGTTACATTTCTAGAAATCTTGGATATCTAAGTTGGAACACCTGAAAAAAACACGCAGCCCTACTCTGTATTTTAAACACCATAATCATATCTGGAAAAAATCTGTTCCCATGAAAGTTGCTAAATTATGAAAGAGATATCAGAGACAGCAATAAACAAAACTGATAGCCTCAGCACACAGAAACAAGCATCTGTGCAACAGCATCGGTCACCTCAAGCTGAAATCACAATTCAGTTGCAAGTGAAAGCTGCCATCTCCAGCAATATATCAATGCTCAGCTCAGCGATGACCTTTTGCCTTTCTGTCAGGGAATAATCTGCTAGTTCTTATCGAGTTCCTACCAGGACATTTCACTTGGCAAAAGAAAAGCAGGATGCCCAACATCTGTGTTTGGAAGCCTGCCCTACTCTGCAAAATTATGCTGTTAAGAATAGTAAAGAAAGACTTCACTTTACAGACATGATTAAACCTTTGGGACTGACAGAAATGCCCCACATTAAGAGCCCTTGACACTTTCATCTTTAAACAACAAAATGGGCTAGCTTCACATTTCAGAACTCTTAAAAGAGAGAAGCACAAGAGGTCAAGCAATAATAAAAACAACCCCTTCAGCCATTTGCATATCCAAGTCTGCTAGTGTGCTGTGGCGATTTCTTTTTGTTCGGTTTTAGGCTTGGGTGGTTGGCTTTGTGGCTTTTGGGGTTTTTTTTGATTACTTCATTATTACACACTGGCCCTTGCAGCTTGGAGAAATAGTAAGTATTTATAAGCAGACAACAGTCAAAGAACTGCTTTATCTCAACACAGTGAGAAAACTGTCTAAAGAAAGAAAAGCCACAAACTGCCAGAGAAAACTGACCAAAGAACTTATCTGCTTGCACTATTTAAGAGAAACAACCTCTGAGATTAATCAAGAATGTAATTTGCATGGTTTTGCTCTTCCAAGAAACACTAGTCAATTGGTGTACTGACTAGTATTTTATGAGTACCTGTCGCTTTAACTAGCTTGCAATGAAGAAAAATGACTAAACATTTAATTGATAGTGTATCAATATTTAGGGGAAAAAGTTTTCTATCCTGTAATGACAAGAAAAAATATAATAAAATGCTGTGCTGATACCACTCAAAACAGTGGTAATCTCTAGTATGGTGGGAGACCAGGTTCTCCACAGAAGCCCTAAGTAAAAGACAAATTCTTGACCATTAAGATTTTTGTGTTCAAATGCGAGGGACCATCAGCATAAAACCATGGCATACTTTAAACAGCACTGCCCTGTCTTCTACTAAAGGATCATTAAGGTTGGAAAAGATCTCCGAGATCATCGAGTCCAACCTTTAACGTATTAGGTACCACAGAGGCTGATGTTTTAAAGGGTTTAGGGAAGTACTCTGCAAATAACACACTGAAGAAAATAACTTGCTTATCAGAGGAACTAAAATAGAATCAGACACAAACGCCGTGCAGATGCAATCAGAATCTAAAAAAAGAATAGAAATCGCTACCTGGGCTAGCACGCTAATGCACTCACATAAAGCAGGTGTCAGTGAGGCAGTCACATGAGTACTGCCCCAAAGCAGCATTCAGGCGAACAGCCTGTCTGGTAACTCCGAGGTTGTAAAAAAATAATAATTGCATTTTATGCCTTTTAGCAAAACCATCTTTCGATTTCCTACACATTAATGGAGAAAACCGGCTTGATTCACAAAGAAAAAAGTGGCTGCAGAAAAGATGAAATAAATACAGTTTGGTGTTGGTTTTTTTTTTTTTTTTTTTTACTAAAACCCCACCTCTTTTTCATTTGATTATCTGCCTCAATAACCTTTGAACAACTGTTCCATGACTTTAGCTAAAAATGGAAACGGCTAAGAAGATTTTTTTTTTTTTTAAGATTATATGGATGTCAATTTGAGACACACCATCCTCCGTGTGTATAACAGCTGTATATACTATTCGCCACGGGTTGCACCACCATGCCCAATTTTACAGGCACGTCTCTCCATCGTTGTGCAGTAAACAAAGGACAGCACTCGCAAGCAAGGGGCTGACTAAGAGCAGGTGTTCAGGATGAGTTTACCATCCCCACCAATTTCAAAACAAGTAGTTTGGGATGCGCGGCACTGCCGAAAGACAGGGTGGCATAAACGAAAAGGCTGCAGGCTTTAAACGCGCGTGGTTGGGGACGGGAGGAGCGTACACAGGCAGGTCTCCCCAGAGAACACCTTCCGAGAGAGCTGCGCGGTGCGGTGCTCCCCGCCCGGCCGCCCCTGCCAGGGCCGGTGTGCCCAGGCCTGTGCGGCGCACACCGCGACCACACGCGGCACCGGCACGGACGGCCCGGGGCCTGAGGGAGGGGAGCGCTCAGGGCAAGAACGAACACCGACCCCGCCGCCGCTCCCAGCACTGCCCCGCGCCCACCCCTCCCTCACTGCAGGGCCGTGCCGGGGCTGTCCCCGCGTCCCACCCGGGGCCGTGGCTCGTCCCCCGGCCGTGACTCGGCACTGCGGCCCCGCTCCACCCGGCCCCGCATCCCGCCCGCCACCGCCGCCGCCTCACCGCGGCCGAGCCCGTGCTCAGCACCGCGCCCCCCGCGGGGCTCCGCCGCCCTCCATCGCCGCCGGCACCGGGCTCAGCACATCGCGCAGGCACCGCCACCCGCTCCCGGCTCCTGCCGCGTCCGGGTCGCCGCCATTCGCCGCTCGGCCCCGCCCCGGGGCGGGCTCAGGGGGCTGCGGAACTACAGCTCCCGGCGGCCCCCGCGGCCGCTCCCCCTTCCCTCCCCCCGCGGCTTCCGGCCGGCCCGGGGATGGCGCGGTGCTGAAAGGCGCGGGGCGCGCGGCGGCGCGCGCGGGCCTCCCAGCGCCATGTACAGGTACCGGGACACGGGCATGCAGGGACACACACGGGGATGCGGGGACAGACACGGGAACGCGGAGACAGACACGGGAACGCGGAGACAGACACGGGAACGGGGGGCTCGCCGGTGGGCTGCTCGTGAGCCCTCGTGGAGGGAAGGCGTGGGTGTCCCTCTTTCCCCGCTGCTCGGGGGTGATGGGCTTTGCGGGGCAACCCCGGGCGCTGGGAGCGGGAATGGGACCCCGGGGGAGCGGGGAGTGGGTTCCGGGAGAGCGGGAGTGGGTTCGTGAGCGCGGATGCGGTACGGGGCCACGCACACTGTGTGGGGATGTGCGCGGGATCCCCGGAGCGCTCCTCTCCCGCCTACAGCGGGCGGCGGTCGGGATCGAACCCCCCTATCCCCCCGTCCATCCCGCCCCGCTGCCCCTGCGGGGGTCCCGCCCTGACCCGGCTTTGGGGGCTGCGAGGCCGCCGCGGGGGTCGAGCCGGACCCGCCGGTCCTCTCGCCCGCCCCATCCGGGAGCGGGGCGCGCTCGGTCCCTGGCGGGATCTCACCCCGGCCGTGCCAGACCGAGCACACGCCTGCTCGTGGCCGCTGCTGGTGCTTCCAGCACCCGCACATCCCACGGTCAATCGCCCCGCCTGTGGATGCGGGTCGCGGGTGACTTTGCAATGCTGTCGTGAGCTCGTCCCCCTCGTGTGTTCGGTGTCGGTCTGGCGGTACCGTCAGAGCCCGTGGGTTTTGCTCCGTCTGCAGGAAACACCTCCAGGAGATCCCATCCTCCAGCACTAATGTTTCCACCAGCTTAGACTGGGACTCCAGCAAGACCCTGGAGTTTGTCTCGAGCGTTCCTCTCGGAGCGCCTGTCCTTAAGAAAGAAAAGCTGGGCAATGAAAACACGCCACAAGACCTGGTGTCATCAGGCTGTCCTGCTCCAAAACGGCAGAAGGAGTTTGTTATTGTGCGCCGGCCGTGGCTGCTCCGAGAGGCAGAGCCAGGTATGATCACCCTGGTCCCGGTTCTGTGCACCCTTCAGTAGAGATGGAGAGTGGGTATCACAGGTTACTGCTGCCTTATTGCTTACTTTTTTTTACTTTTGCCCAGCAGAATGTCACTTTCATATCTAGTTGCTTTCAGGCCTGGTTGATAAACCCTGTTTTATGTAAGCCTTTAAGCAAGAGTGGTATGTCTTGCTCCAGAACTGTGGCCAATGAAGAGCATGGATCTCTCCTGCCTAGTCCTGCCAGCTCCTGTCTGTGTGCTGGGGATTTGTGCTGCATGTCCCTGTGTCTCTCTGATCTTGCTGTGTGGGACATGGGTGGCACCTTGGCCCAGCAGGGCCTGTTGCAAATGAGTGTTTTAAGGTTGCTGCACAGGAGCACACTGTCCCATTATGCTGAAAGCCAAGGTGATGAGGAAGATGGACAGCCTAGCTGAACAGGGAGATTTTGAAGGAAATTAGGGGGAAAAAAGAGAGTTTACTGACTGTGAGGAAAAAGGTCTGGCTATTCATGAAGAGTTTAGAACCATAGTTAGGTCATAAAGAAAGAAAATTAGAGAGACAAAGGCACAATTTGAACTCAGTGTAGCCACTTCTGTTAGGGATAACAAGAAGTGCTTCTATAGATACATCAGTAGCAAAAGGAGGGGCAAGGAAAACCTCCATTCTTTGTTGGACCGGAGGAGGGGGGCAGAACACAGTCACCAAAAATTAGGTAAAGACTGAGGTATCTAACACTTTCTCTGCCTCAGTTTTCAACAGTAAGACAGGTTGTGCTGAGGACAGCTGGCTTCTGGAGCTTGTAGACAGAGACAGGAAGCCAAACAGCCCCCCTATGTTCCAGGAGGAAACAGTGAGTGACCTGCTGAGCCACCTGGATCCTCACAAGTCTATGGGACCAGATGGGATCCACCCAAGGGTGATGAGGGAGCTGCTGGAGGAGCTCACCAAGCCACTCTCCATCATTTACCAGCAGTCCTGGCTCTCTGGAGAGGTCCCAGATGATTGGAAGTTGGCGAATGTCACACTCATCCACAAAAAGGGCTGCAAGGAGGACTCAGGAAACTCCAGGCCTGTCAGCCTGACCTCAGTGCCTGGCAAGGTTATGGAGCAGATCATCCTGAGTGCAATCACACAGCACCTACAGGATGGACAAGGCATCAGACCCAGCCAGCACGGGTTTACGAGGGGCAGATCCTGTCTGACCAACCTGATCTCCTTTTATGATCAGGTGACCCACCTGGTGGATGAGGGGAAGGCTGTGGATGTGTCTCTCTGGACTTCAGCAAAGCCTTTGACAGCGTCTCCCACAGCATATTCCTGAAAAAGCTGCAGCCCATGGCTTGGACAGGGCACTCTGTGCTGGGTTAGGAAATGGCTGGATGGCCGGGCCCAGAGAGTGCTGGTGAATGGAGCTGCATCCAGTTGGTGTCTGGTCACCAGTGGTGTCCCCCAGGGATCAGTGCTGGGCCCAGTCCTGTTTAATATCTTTACTGATGATCTGGATGAGGGGATTGAGTCCATCATTAGCAAATCTGCAAATGACAAGAAGTTGGAGGAAATGTTGATCTACTGGAAGGCAGGAGGGCTCTTCAGACCTGGACAAGCTGGAGAGATGGTCTGATTCTTACGGAATGAGGTTCAACAAGGCCAAGGGCCGGGTCCTGCACTTTGGCCACAACAACCCCTTGCAGCGCTACGGGCTGGGCACAGAGTGGCTGGAGAGCAGCCAGGTGGAAAGGGACCTGGGAGTTTGGATGGACAGGGAGCTGAACATGAGCCAGCAGTGTGCCCAGGTGGCCAAGAAGGCCAATGGCATCCTGGCCTGCATCAGGAACAGTGTGGCAGTAGGAGCAGGGAAGTGATCCTTCCCCTGTATTCAGCACTGGTGAGGCCACACCTGGAGTGCTGTGTCCAGTTCTGGGCCCCTCAGTTCAGGAAGGATATTGAGGTGCTGGAGCAGGTGCAGAGAAGAGCAACGAGGCTGGTGAAGGGACTTGAGCACACGTCCTGTGAGGAGAGGCTGAGGGAGCTGGGGTTGTTTAGCCTGGAGAAGAGGAGGCTCAGGGGAAACCTCATCATTCTCTACAACTACATGGAAGGAGGTTGTAGTCCAGGGGTCTTCAATCTCTTCTCCCAGGCACTCAGCAATAGGACAAGAGGGCACAGTCTTAAGCTGGGCCACGGGCGGGTTAGGTTGGATATTCGGAAGAAATTTTTTACAGAGAAGGTAATAATCAGACATTAGAATGGACTGCCCAGGGAGGTGGTGGATTCACTATCCCTGGAGGTTTTTAAGAGGAGACTGGATGTGGCACTGAGTGCCGTTGTCTAGTAACCACGGCAGTGTTAGATGAAGGGTTAGACTTGATGATTTTGGAGGTCTTTTGCAACCTGGTTGATCCTATGATTCTGTGATTTGGACCTCTGTTTATAGGGTCACAAGAGAGTGGGCTTTAGTTGTAGTCATTCTCCATCCTGGCTGATGGAGACTGAATGTTTGAAGAAGTCCAGTTTGGGATTGAAATGTTTGAAGAAAGTTGGATAACAAAAATGTTATTCCACTTGGGTTCTTATTCAGGCAAGAAAAATAAGTTTTGAAGGCTTTTTTTTAAAAGCAGGAGTTTTTAACTTGCTAGACAGTACAAGCTCCTGGGAGCAGACTGTTTCTGATAGACTCGAGAGAGGCTTAGCCCAAGTGCTGTTCATCAAGGCCAAAGCCTAGGTCTAGGCCTAATGAGCATTTCTTAGATCACAGTGCAGCCTGGGGGGAAAAGGGATGCACCATCACAGGCCTTGAGGTGCATCTGTTGCTCTGCCCAGTGACCTCTTTACAGATGTTACACTGCAAACCGAGCAAGGCCAGGCTTCTCACAAAAATATGGCTGTGGCTGCCAGATGAAAGTGGATTATTGGTGCTGTTGTTCTCAGCACAGTTCTGAAAACGACTGGACTTTATTTTTATCGTTTTTTACTTTTCTAAGAAGTGAGATGCTTGGTCCTCAAGACCAAAAGGATCCAGACCCACATCTTTCACAGCGCAGGCTGAGGTATATCAGAAGGGCAGTGTCTCAGCTCCTGAGGAAGCTCTGCTGTGAGTTGGATTGTGCCAGAGAGCTACAGGGAAAATACATAAAAAGGATGGAAGGCTGTTGGGCCATAAAGGGACTGTCAGGGAAAAGAGCAGGACGGTAACCTAAAGACCTTGAACACTTGAAGGGGTTATAAGGTGCTGGGTTCCCTTCCCTGGTGCCAAAATGTTTTTTCAGTCTGAGTGAGTATGGGATGCAAAATAAATAAGCAGTTCTTTCCAGCCACTAGGCTGTCATGTGGAAGGTGGGAATGGCCTCAGCCCTGTTTTTAAAAAGCCTGAGTGCTGGGTCATAGGCAGCTGTAGCTGAGCTCCACCACCCAGAAATCTCCAGTATGAATTGCAACATCTTCTGGAGCCCTGTATCCACTTGTGAGAAGCTGAGATTGTACCACATCCTTTCAGATAATTCTTGGAGTGGAGATAGCATGCATGTTTTAGAGAGCATTTTGTAGTACCTGATTTTTTCTGTGTATCGCACAAAAGCATAGCTCACCTTGGGTTCCCTTCTGGGACCCTTGCATGCATAGGAAGAGCGGGCATTCCAGAAGGGGGAAAAAAAAAAGAGGATCACACAAGCTTTAGAATAGAAAAGCAGTAACTAAGATGCTCTTGTTTCCCAAATGAGTATGTGAGTAATGATTATTGTCATTTTTAACAGGAAAATTGTTTTTCCATGGCTTTAGTACATATACAGAGTTGATATTATGTGAACTTTTGCATTTGCCAGGCATGTCTATGCAGAAATAGTAATATCTTCCTACACTGAAGAGCTGAAAGGGGGATGAATAGTGGGCTGATGTCTGTACAGCCTAGAGAGGTTGTAGAGGTGCTTTTAGATAGCCAAACCAAACAAGGCATCTGATCAACAGCAAAAATGAACCAGCTTTAACCAGAATGTGTTTTGCTTTTTCCCTAAAGGTGTTTCTCTGGATGCGCTTCCAGATGAATTACTTTTGGCCATCTTTGCATATTTGCCCCTAAAGGACTTGCTAAAAGTTTCAGTGATTTGCAAGAGGTGGCATCGTCTTGCGTAAGTATTATTTCTCATCATTTAGTACTAAGTAAACCTTCATTTCCATGGACTGTTAAATGATCTGGTTGTCATCTTGTTTATTCATGTATAATTCAGTTTATGCGATAGGTCGCTTATATGTATGTATAATCAAAAGATGCTTTACATATTTTAACGTTATTACAGTCTATTAAATAGCTTTCCCTCCTCTCTTTTTTTTTTGTTTTTTTTAACCCTGAGAACTTTCTGTGTTTGTACTCATAGTTGTGGCACTTTTGAACTCACTAACAAGTAAAATTCTATGCCTCAGGTTTGATGAATCTCTCTGGCAGACTCTTGATCTGACTGGTGGGAACCTGCTACCAGGAGTGCTTGGACAATTGCTTCCTGCAGGTGTTACTGTATTCCGCTGCCCAAGAGCCTGTATTGGGAATCCATTGTTTAAAACAACCCAGTAAGGCTTTTTCTGCATGTTCTGGGTCCTGAAACAATGTCTCAAATATTCACAGTTTTTCTGTGTAGTTTTGATTTTAAGGTAGTAGCAACCAGTAGCAGCATTTGTGCTGTCTGTGGAATATGGAAGAGCTGATCAGTGGTTAGGCATGTGTTGGAATAGGAGGATCTGCATTCACCTGTCAGCTACTTAAAACCAACGTGATTTTTTGAAAGTATCAAGTGTTATAATGCAGTTTATATCACATAGAACCAAGAATTGTCACCATCTCCAGCGTTTTATATGGGACACCCCCAAAAAAATTATTTAACTGCAGCAGGATTGACTTTCAGGTGTTATGAGGAATCCTGAATGCCTGGAATATGAGTTCTGTGGTTTTGTCTGGTAGCTTAGCAGTAGGCCCAGTGAGCTTAGTCGTATACTCAGTGTGCAGCTGAACACAACAGTAGAACTAGTTTCTGCAAGTTTGCATGGTTTTAGTGTGTGGGATATATTTGTGAAACATGTTCTAATGGAGTTTTAGTAACTTTTTCCTTTTTTTTTCTTTTTTTTTAATTTTCTTTTTTTTCTTTTGTTCTTTTTTTTTTTTTTTTTTTTTTTTTTTTTTTTTTTTTTTTTTTTTTTTAGACTTCTCAGACTTCAGTACCTGGATTTGTCAAACTGCACGATGTCTGTTGCAGATCTCCAGAGTATTCTTTGTCTATGTGAAAGACTGCAGAACCTCAGCTTGGAGGGACTAGTGCTTTCTGACATCATCATCAAGTGAGTGGCACATTTGGGAATATTCAGTAAATACCTTCTGTTTGGTGCCATCATTTTGTGCAGGCTAGTGAAAGAATGCAGTGTAGAGGTCTTCATTGTGGATTCCATTGAAATGGCCAGTTTCAGGCACCTAACAGGGCAAGCTGGCAAGCTAGATGAGCTGCCTCTTTCTATCCTCCAAGAGATGAAGCACCCCTATAGAAAAGTGTGTCTTGATGCCTTTTTTGTTTTTTCCAATTCCCCTGCGTAGGAGGAGGTTGGAGAAACTGCTCATCTTTCTAGGGTTTGTGTCCATTGGCTGTTACCACATCCAAGCTGTACAGCAGAGTTACTTTTATTTTCCCATTTTTGTGCTCCCAGGAGAACTGTGTGTTTGGTATGCAGGTTCTTTTCTGTTTTAAAGGCTCTGGGTGGCTCTCCCACCAGATGCTTATTGGGCTTCTGCACTATTGCTCACTTCTTTGTTGAACTTCACTTTGAGGTCCTGGAAAATTACAGATTCTGTCAAGCAGATGAACCATTTTTTTGGTTGTACTGAAAAGACACTCATGGGTGTGCAGTCATCCTCCTGTTCAGTCACATCAGGTAATTGTGGAAGTGCCAGGGCCACAGGTCAGATGGCAGAGATTCTGGCTGTCTTGCTTTCTTCCTCACTCCAGAGAAGGGGAACCAGACACAAATCAGTATAGTTTGGCTTTTGATACCAGGTGAAAACTGTGGGAAAATTGCATACTAATCAGGCATTAATGATGGAATTTTATTGCTTTGTGTACAAATGTAGATACTGGGTGTAAGTTTTTCCAGGTTTTGCCACATGCGTGTCTGCTCTAGTCTTGCAAACAAATGCGTTCAGAGGATGCTATTTGGACATGTTTTGTTGCAGAATAACCTCTCTCTTGCAGGGGGGTGACATCAGAAACGGGATTGTTGCTTTGTCTTTTGTTGAGGCATAGTCATCTCTGATAAGATATGGTGTGTGTTTATTGGCATACAACAGAAGAAGGTGAAAAGAACTCTTTTCCTTGTAAACTTGGTAGTTTATAAACATGCAGACTTGTCAGGAATGTCAAGTAAATAGACAGGTATCCCTTTTAGAGTTAAGACCCTTAGTGACTCAGGTTTGTCAGTTGATTAAAGATGCAGTACTGCTTGTTTAATGAGTCACTCTGAGCCTGGGATCTTAGGTCTTAAAAATAATCACACATCCTAGCAATGCAAGTGATGTTCCAACATTTAAATTTTATCAGACTTTTTTTTTCTCTCCCCAGGAGCATTGCTAGGAATCCCAATTTGATACGATTAAATCTTTGTGGGTGCTCAGGGTTCTCTGCAGAAGCCTTGGAGATGATGTTGAGCAGCTGCTCTGTGTAAGACAAAACCAGTTTTTGCTGTTCCTGCTTAGTGCTGTTCCTGAGAAAAAGGATCCTTTTTATTTTTTCCCTTAGGCATCCCGGTTATACTTGTATCTAACACCTTTGCTTTTTTATGTGCCTGTTTCTGTTCCTAAATGCCTAACTGTTGAATATTAGCGGAATAATCTGGTAGTTTCTTTCCATCAAGCTATTTTCTTCCTTAATAGCAAAGATGCATTTTGGTAGTTTTTCCTTAGTCATCCTTGTTGGTCATTAAACCCCATTTATGTCCCTTTTATATCCTGTAAATTTGATTTTCTTAATGAAAACAGGATGTGATTCTCACAAAGTGAAAGTTTGTGTTTTAAAACTGGAAAGTGGAGTCCTCGAGCTGCAATCACAGTACAGCATGAATGCCAGAGAACACTGTGCCTTTCCATGGTAGAATAATCCTTCAGTAACCTTCTAGTTCATGAAGCGCTGTGTTCAGATTGACAGCTCTTCAGAGATTAAACCATCTGCTGGCAGGAAGTCATTGAACTGAGCCCCAGTGAGTCTGGGATTTATATCCCAATCTTTCTGCTGACTTCCTGTGACATGCTAGACAACGTATTTAATCTTTTCTTCTGCAAAAGCATGTTTTTTAATCAAATTGCAAGTTAATGGACAGCAAAAGCTTTAATCTTTCTTGTTGCTTGGTCTGGTAACTTGGATCATGAGCTCTTTAGAGGATGGCAGTCTGTGCAGTGCACAGTGAATAGCAGATGGCAAACCTGATCCTGGGAATGCTAGTGGCAATTTAACTGTTTTTTCATTTACGTAGAGGTTGCCAGCTAAATGCTGTAGTTGTGCATTCACTGTGTCTTTGTCCTATGGTTACAGCTACACCACCTGCACACAGAACAATACTTTGTCCAACCCCATGGTGATAGGCTATAGATAAACAAGCATGTAAAGAGAGTTAAGCTCACAGCATGACCCAATGTTTATATAAAACTATAAAGTATTTTATGCTAATTAGGATTAATTGGTCATCTGACCAGTGCTAATGATGGATAGTGTTTTTTCCTTTCAATGTGACCATCTGTTCAGTAGTAACAGATTCAGGTCACAAACTCTGATGAAAAGACAGTGTCTCCCTGTGGCAGTCCTTGGAGAGAGACTTCACTTCCTAAGATAGTGAGTCATTCCAGGTGAAATGGGTTTTGGGAAGTCACTCTAACCCCTTGTCCAGATCAGGATCTAAAATTAGCACTGGCCAGGTTGATGAGGACTTTCTCTGGTTGGATCTTGAAAATATCCAAAGACAGATTCTGCTGGGTAACCTGCTCCATTAATTAGTGCTTAATCATTGTCATAGCAGAATTTCTACCCATGAATAGTTGGTATTAGGTGTGTCACAAGTATTTCCTTTAAAAGTATCAATTGTAATAGCAAATATCAGAACTTGAACTGCATTTCATTCTTGTTAACAACTCTTCGTTCATTTGTATTTAGGCTGGAGGAGCTGAACTTGTCCTGGTGTGACTTCACAGCCACACATGTCAAATCAGCAGTCAGTCACATTACTTCACAAGTCAACCAATTAAATTTAAGTGGATACAGAGAGAATCTACAAATAGCAGGTAAATAGCAGCATGACAAATATTTATCCCACTGTGGGATAAAGCAACAGATTTTATATTTTCTTCTGGTTGGCATCCACTCTCTGTAAAGAAAAAACATGTATTAACACTGATTTTTATGCTCTGTATAGCTTGAAGTTGTTGCTATCAGGAATCTTACTCATATTTCTAGCTCAGTCAAGAAGGGTGAGATGATTTTTCTTCTGAATTAAAAAACAGTCAGGTGAAAACTCATTTCATCTTCAGTTGAAAGGTATAGCCCTTACTTCTGAAGTAAGTCCTGGAAGCAGGACTTTGTGTTCCACTGTGAATTAGCCTCCCAGATACTGTTCCTGGAGCTTTCTTAAAGCTTCTAGTGTTGTGGCTGCTGAAAACATCTTCCAAAAGAGAATAGTCACAGTAACTGCTTGAGTTTCAGACTGACATACAGGTGCCAGTTAACTGAAAGGCAAATAATCTCAGTAATCAGCCTTTAACTATTTACTTGCTAATAGTTCTAGGAGGAAAAATTGTGTAAAGTTGGAAGGTAATAGAAAATGCACATAAATGTAGATCTGGGGAGAGGGTACAACAAAACAAACAAGAGCATGAAGAGTGATATTGCTTTGGTGGTAAAGAGAAATTAATTTTCTCAATGAGTGAATTTGACAATAGGGCACTAGCTGAAATGCAGGTGGTGACCTCTCTTTATTTCTCATTTAACATCACACAGACCCCGATATGTCTTCCCCTTGTGGGGATATATGGAAATCTTATCTCAGCCCCAAACCCACAAACAAATATGGTACATAATCTCCTTCACAACAAGAATTTAAACCTGTGGATTGGACCGTTAGAGACAACGTGCCATCCTCTTCTGTTTGCCAAACACTGAGTGACTTCACTCTGTTTCAGTGCAATCTATATGGCATAAGGCTTGATTAGCACATTAATCATCACCATTTAGGTATTGTTTTCTTTAGTTTTTGCACATGAATTCTGAAATACAAAAGCTTTCTTACATGTTGTTTAGCACCTTGCTAGTAACCGCGGCTTCTAGGTGGTATCTGAGCCATGGGTGAGTCAGTGCTATTTGCACACAATGAAAAGGTCTCAAGAATTTACAGTTTAAATCAGGAAAACTATTAACTTTTTGTCATGAGGAAAAAACTTTCTGTGGGTAAAAGTAAGGATGCCTAAATTTGGTGCTCTGAAAGGGTGTTTGATGTGTGGAAAATTCTGTTACTTTTTCACTACATGTAAGTATTTCAGGCATCTCACCATTATTATGTCTTGGTAGGTTTCACAGAAATATCACTTGAATTACTCCCTTGCTAAGTTGATGGTGCAGCTGACTTTTAGGGACACTCCACTGAACTAAACGTAACTGTTTTGCAGAGGATTAAAAGAAGTCCATGTTAGGTATCTTGATAGGCAGTTTGTATACTCTGAGTCTTAAGCACAAATACTTTAAACAAAAAGTTGTGCTTTAGTTGTGGGGTTCTAGCAGAGAAGATGCAAATGAACATATATGGAAGTGAGTAGGCTGGATAAAGCATGTCATCTTGTTACTGAAAGGTAGACTGACTCTGTGTCACTCTTTTCAGATGTGAAAACACTGGTGGAAAGATGTCCTTTTCTTGTCCATTTAGATCTCAGGTAAGACCTGTGCACCTGGTCCTTAAATCCTTACGGCTCAGGAGATTAGCAGTAATGTAAGATTGCATAGCACTGCACAACCAGAAAACACTACCTATGCTAAAACTGCAAACGATTTGCTATCTGGCATAACCTAATCTGGAGCAGGTAACTAACTTGAAGATTTCTTTGTTATCTCATCATAAATATTACATACCTACAGGATTTATTAACTAGCAAGTGAGAGTAGTTGATAGGTGGAATGGAAGGAAGCATGCAGATGTCTACAGTTTGAGCCGAGCATCCTACAGAGGCTTTAATTCTTCTCTGATATAAATTATTTACTTGGCTACATAACAGTAAAAAAAAGGTGTATATTGGTTTTGACCTAGTCAATGACAGTATTTTGAAATCTCTCTGTGAATAACTTGCTATTCTTGGCAGGAGTTGCAGAGTGTCTGTGCGAAGAGAAACTCCTGCTTTGCTTGCCCTTCAGTGAAAATCAAAATTCCTCCCCTCACAACACATACACACTAGATATGGGTTGCTTCCATATTGAGCAAAAACATACTTCAGTGGTAGAAGTTGATGTTTATTAAATTTCTTGGCCTGAATTTTGGAAATACGAAATTTACTGCTGCCTTATACTTAAGCCTTTATTTAATGTGCTCTTCTGTGTAGCGACAGCATGATGTTAAAGCCTGAGTGCTTCCAGTATTTTCGGCAACTCATGTTCCTCCAACATCTTTGTCTTAGTCGATGTTATCAGATATCACCTGCTGCCTTGGTGTAAGTAATCTCCAAATAGTTTTGGTTTGCCACTCATGCAGAGGGGAAGTTAATTTAAACTTGCTTTATTTTAGGTTTAGAATTGCACGTACTGTTTTGAAAAGCTTGCTGGTGTGAGGAATTGTGAGTAAAACTGAGATAAAATAACCTGGTATAGCATGGACTAGGACTGCTAGAGCATGTACCTTTTGAGAATCCAGTCTGGAACCAAAGGTGTCTGAGATAATCTCTCAGTGATATCAGTCTGCACTGATGGAACTGGCAGCTCCATGCATGCATTAGTGGCATTTTACCAATGGTGCTTGTTAGTGGAACTGGAGTTTCCAGTCCTGACAGTGACCAGTATTGATGTCAGCACTGGACTTTCGACTATGCAGCAAGGTTTTGGAAAAGCTGGCAGAGTTGACAGTACCTGTTGACTAGCTAACCTCTGTGTATTTTTTGTGAGCACTTTTATCTGTAATTGATTGCAACTGAAACAGAGTTACTTGTTTAGGGGAGTTTTCCTGCCTTTTACTAGCATAGAAGCTTTCAATTTCAATACTTTCAGGAAGGATGTCAATTCAAAGGATGGTCAACAGTAAGAAAAGAGACCGTGAGTGGAACAGGACTAGTAAAAATGGGCATTTGAAGAACCTTTCCTGTAGAAGTGTGGGCTTGAGCCTTTTGGCTTTGTCCAATACTTGCTTATAGATACACAGGTCATCTGATGATTGGGAAAATGTAAAGCATTCAAGAAGCCAGGGCTGGATACTCACCAAGACATTGCCACAAATTAGAAACTGATAGTACCTAGGGGCTTGTTTCCTCTAAGCCATACCCTGAAAACTTCATCTAGGACAATTTATTCCACTTGTTCTAAATTGTTAAGTCCAGAGAAATAAAAGGGGAAGAACCAGTTTGTTTTCATTCTGTGAGAGAGAGAGATCAGCAAAAAATAATTTATTCATGAAGTATTGGGACAGAACGAGTTTCAATGAAATGTGTTTAAGTAGTTACCCTCTTCTAAAAATTAGTAGAAATGGAGTACAGACTGAAAAAAAAGAAAAAAATGTTTTTAGTTTCATGATCAATTTCATATTTTTCTAGAGAACTTGGTGAAATTCAAACATTGAAGACGCTGCAGGTGTTTGGGATAGTGACTGACAGCTCCCTGCAGCTCCTCGAGGAAGCACTGCCTGCAGTGAAGATCAATCGTTCTCACTTTACAACCATTGCAAGGCCAACTGTTGGCAACAAAAAGAACCATGAGATTTGGGGAATCAAATGCAGATTGACACTGAGAAATTCTAGTTTCTTATGATCATGTACAATGCACTGGATGCAATGGACACACTGTGCATTGAAGCTCCTTAAGAAACAAAGTGCTGGAGCACCTTTAATCATAGTACTGTTATTGTAAAAAGCATTCTAATTTGGTCTTACACTTTAATGATGTTTCACAGTATTTCGTAGCATTGTTTGTACTTAAAGCCTTTAGAGATCTGACGATCTGTGAGCAATTGTAGAATTTTTGAGGCTTTTTTTTTCTTTATACAGGGGATCTTTGAAAAATACTATGAAACAATCACTGTAATTAAACAATGCCAGCCTCTAACAACTGTTGCAAGTTCTGATGCAGCTTTTATTGCACTGAACTAAAGTGTTCTAAAGGTGCTTTTGGTTAACTCTTGCAATTAACTCCTGGAAGAGTTAACTCCTCTTAGTTAACCTTTGGTTAACTCCTGCAACAGCTTGCAGAGGTGCTAGATATCTTAATAAGGTTTATTAAGGAATTTGCAGAGCTCAAAGTGAGTAAGATATTAAACCTATTCAACTACTTAATTGAACAAGATGCACAGTAGGATGAGAAGCTGTGAGCACAACAGAGTCTGAATTAATCAAACTTGAAAACAGTAAATTGGGGATGTCTACACTAAAGCAGCTAAGAGAGCTCAATACCATATCAAGTTAGGAAGCAGCATAAATGAGCTACAGCGAAGTTTTTACTTAGCAGGCCACAAATGATACTTTTGTCTTTAGTATTGTGCACTGTTAGCAAAATACAGTCTGAGAAGCTCATTCAGAATTAGCATCTGTAGAAACAGATGTTGGTTATCCATGCTGGTTTCACATGGTAATGCTAGGTTTTCTGATTAAGTGTTACAGAACCTTCGTGTAGCTTCTGTGAGTCTGATCTCAGACAAAACTTCCTCCAAAGAGTAAGATCTTTCAACTGCAACTGATATAGTGGTAGAAATCTTACAGGAGGAAGGCTCAAATGGTTCTAGATATGACCAAAAAACCAAATCATGGGACTGCAGCACAAGAATGCTAGAGGGAAGAGATGCTTTGGTGCTAGCAAGAAACATGAATTTTTCTTTTGTAATAGTTTATGTTTGTAGTAGCACTTCACTTTTTGTATCTGTATCACTAACCACTATTGTCTAGTGTGGATTTTTTTTTTTTAAGTCGTAGGAAAAGCTGAGTAACTGTCCAAAAAAAATTTAAAAAACCAAACCAAATAAAAGGATAGGAACAAGTAATGACTTTAAATGAAACTTTCATCTGCATCTATTATCAGGGTCCTTGTGCTTAAGCCTAGAATGTTCCAAAAGGTGTTCTAGCTGCTAAGTTCTAGGGCAAAACTTGGACCCTGTGTAGGGCATAAATATGCTGTTGTTGTTTGCAGGAATGCAGTCAGCAAGCAGGTGAATTTATTCATGGATGTTTTAGGAGTAGCCTACAGCATTACTACAGGGCTATTGTGTAGGTACAGTTTTTCCCATTCAGTCTGAAGAAGAGCATTCAGGTATTAATTATCTGGTGATGCAGAACACCTTACTTACTGTGGAAAGATTGTATGAGTACTAGAATTTGATATTTAATTTGACTTTCTAGAGTATAGTAAATAAAACACATGATCATGCTAATCTGTTGTAAGTTGTTTTGTTTTTTATTCAGTTTACCAGTGTAAGTAACAGCTGATTCTCTAATGGGCTTGTGTCCCTTACAAAGACATTAATGGGCAACATACCTTGTGAAAACTGGAGAAGTGAGGGAATTTGGATATTCTACTGCTTCACCATTTGCTGCCTTAGTTTTAAAGCCTTAAATTACTTCAAGGAAAAAGGTAAATCTTTGCAGCTCAGCACTTCCTTTAATACTTCTCCCTGTGCACAATGTAACTCCGCGCACCTTCTCTTGCATTTAATAAAGATTTAAGAAATTGCTATGTTGTACAAAATGACTGATGGATGGGAGAATGTTTTCCCTAATTTCCCACCAACTTTGTGTAAAGGGTTACAAAGAGGGGAATTTGTCCAACCAGTGTGTAAACTGGTGGTTTAGAGGACAGGGGGTTTATCATGAATCCATTTAGCATTTACTATATTATGCTTTAAACCCTACACAGAACTGGGAGAAGAGTATGGGTTTAACTAGATGGAATAGCCCTGAACTACTTTCAACTAGCAGGTTCAGTGTTGGACTATCACCCCTCTCTTGGTTATAGTGCCAGCTGTAGCAGACACATAATGGAAGTCCCTGGGGTTAAGGTGCACCGCCGACCTTTTACTAACTGAAGTTGTTTTCTCGCTCTGCGCAGTTCATACCAAAAACTGCTACGTAGCAGTCTCTGCATTATACCTAAAAGCTAAGTGCATGAAACACTTTTGAAGGTGGAAATAAGGCACAGGAGAGCTTCATTTATCAATTAACCTTTTCATTTTTATTACATAATGTATAAACACCATGTGGAGAAAAAAAAAAAAAGGGCAAAGAATGACAGGTCTAGTTTAGCAGAACACCATGTGGACTGGCACTAAATGAAAAGACCATGGATTTGACTCAGCAGATAGAAGAGGTGCAAAGATCACTGCCAGTCCATGCAGATTAAATCAGTGTTAAACCAATACTCTGTCCTGTCATGGAATACTGTCTGCCAGGTAAATTGTACTGTAATCCCTTGCAATAAAGGATCCTTAGAAAGTGTCCTACAGTTCCTCAATAAAAAAGGTAGCTGCTTCTTATTTATTATAGATTTCTGAATCATCCTAATTAACTTAAAACATTCACCAGTAAATGCTTCAACAGAAGTGCAATTAAATTATAGACAAAACCAGCAGAGGCCACTCATGAGTAAGTCAGGCTTCCATTTTGCTAAGTTAGGAATTTGTGAAAACTTACCAAGTCCTAAACCAGATCACATTTTGGATCTGTCAGGCCTGAAAACACTGTCTTTTAGTCTTGACATTCGTAATAAGGAATGGCAGGCATGTTTAAGAGGTATGCTTACTGATCAGAGTAATCAGTCTCCATTAAAACATTACAGCACACAAATATCTAAATAAGCAGGGGATGACATTTCTGACATAATTTTTCTATGCAGGTGTTCAATACCTAAATCTGATCTAACAGTGGCAAATTCCTAGGAAGTAATAAATTAGTGTTAATGGCATTGGTGGGTTTGGGGGTTTAACAGCATCTTGACAGGTGTACTAGATAGAGGCACATAAACCATCCTTAACTGGTTACTGATGGAGTGACAATAACTAAAACACCCTAGTTTGTGTGCACACAACTTAAGAAAGATTAGTCTTCTGCATCTTTACCTTTAGAAAAGTTTTGCAGATTTTTTTTAGACATTAAAGGCTCTATTCTGATAGCTCCTGAACTTTGTTCATAAGTTTTGAAAGCTTATTTGGCTACTTTTACTTTCCCCTCTGGCTCTGCAATCATGATAGCCAGACAGTGTAAATAACTCACTCTGCAGCACACCTAAAGGTAAAATGTACACAAACAGTGATAGCTTATTCAGAAATCTCCATCAGTATCACATTTTCCTAGAACTGAATGGTCAAATTTCTTCCAAATTATGTTTTGATTTTGTATTCACTCAAGTCGTAGAAGGAAAAAATCCTTTATCCACTTCCTCCACCTATAAAGAGCAGTTCACGTTTTGCAAGTGGTGGTAAATATGCTGTTTGGCCACACTGGAGAACATTTCCATTAGACCTGAGAACATCTGTTACAGAAGTCTCTCTGTTCAAAAGTAGTTTAAAGAAAACTCAGTTTTGGGAGCTAATTTGTAGTAGACAGGACAAAACATACTTTTTTCAAGTCATGTAGTAGAAAAGTTCCTGCTGTAGGAATATTCACTTTGTCAAATTCTGCCCTCTCTTATATGCAGTTATCAGCACAGACTTTAAAAGGCAGTCACAGTTTATAGTTTCTCCAAAACATTATTTAAAAAATCACTTTCTCTTCTGTAATCAGCTTTTTTTTCTGCTGTTAACTGGCTTACCTAACATGAGCACAGACATGTAAAATTCATTTGTTGCCAGTTAAATATCAGTAGAATTCAGCATAGGATTGGAACTTTCTGGGGAAGGTAAAAACATGGTGAGAAAAGTGGAAGACATAGGTATTAACTTGTGCTCCAACTCCTATTACCCAGGATATCTCTCATTCTTCTTTAATTATAAGAAATTCATAACCTAAAATTCCAAACCATTCAACTTAATAAGGCCAAATACCTTTCTTAATGATAGCCATCACATGCACTAGTGTGACTGACCACCTGTTTGCCAGTTAATCCACTCAGGGACGGAATCTTTCTTACTTCAACATGATTTCTATAATTTGTATATTCCCACTGAAGGGCTTAAGAAAACCTTTGGGTTTCAAGTCCCTCTCTAGCCAGACAGAAGAAGTAAAAGCTACTTCATTCAAGATGTACTAAAGCAGGCTTTTACTTCTGATGTAAGCCTACAAAGTAGAAAAAATACTGGAAGAACAAAAAAAAAAATTGCCACAAGTTGTATGAAACTACAAAGTTGTACAATTTTTGAAAAGCATACAAAAGGTTTGTATTTCCATTTCTATTACATCAACATCACGGTTTACCAAAATCTATATATCCTTGCATCAAATTGCTAGATCGACAGTCAACTTTTCTACAAAAGTGTATGTATGAAGGTACTTAGTTTCATCAGTCCCAGACTGTTACTAAAAAACTGTACATCTGAATATTTAATGCTACTGACTTAATACTTGAACCCAACTACCTGTGTTTAAAAAGCTGTTCTTTCTTACAGGTTAAAATGTCAATTTTCACTGAAGTTAGAGATAACACTTCAGATACATTTCTTTTACACCAGATGCAAAAAGAGCTTAAATATCAGGTTTATGTTTCCCCAACCCAAAGGAATGAAAAGTATTTCAAGCTTCCTCTAAATGCTCTTGCATCTGAAAAAGCCAACATCCAGTATAATGCAGCATTGTGATATCCCCATGGTTTCCCTCTATGGATCCATAAATGTTTCAGCAGAAGACTTGAGGGTCCTTCATTCTTCCAGCAGAACAGTGCACAGTGCATCCTCTGTGTCAATCAGTATCGACGCTATCGCCCCGTCATTGAACTCAAAAGATGTTCCCCCATCCACAACCATACAGGCATCCCAACAGCGGGAACGGACACAGACTCTGCAAAAACCCAAGAACTCAGTTTTCACAAAACTGCTCAAACATTTAAGTATTTCACAGAAGCAACTCAACAATAAGACTGGTTTTTGGCCCTTCTTTTGCGTGGGCCTACAAATGCTTCATCACATACTTAGAGAACCATTTAGCATGTTAACAAGCACTAGAACCGCCCCCAGTTACCACTACTTTGTGTGGATGTAGCGAAGAGTCAAGGACTTGTTCAAATAATTGTTCCCAGAGTCTGAGAACAGCCTATAACTTAACACTTAGTGTTGAAAGCTGCAGTTTAGGTGTATTTTTTTAAAGAAAACCCTTTAATCTTCACAGAAAAGTTTTCAGTTAATCTATGATTCTAAGGCATTGTCTTCATATTAAGTGAAACATACAGTTTCAACTAGCAGTGCTTGAGATTCAAATAATTTGGATATTAATATAGTCTATGTTGTTACATGAATCATTCAAAGAAAAGGAAAGTAATTTCAAACACAAAGATGAAGGTCAGAATGCTTGTCAGTAAGGCCTCTCTTTTAGAACCAGACAAGACAGAATAAAGCTACTAACCACCTTTGTCATCACTTACCTTTAAAAGGAAAATTGACTCAACCATTGAAATTTATCCCTTCATGCAGAAAATGAGAACGCTATTAAGTAATGAGTTCCTGGTCTATACAATGTTCTGATATTCAAAGTTTAATCAACACTTATGCAGGGACTTAGATTTTCAGGAAGACACATCTCCCAGAAATATAAATAGCTTTATGACTTGGTCATACAATGTTGTTGTAAGACTGATGTTTCTCAAAAGGAGAAGAATTTGGGTCCCCTTCAGGTCAGAGCTCCTTTAGACATTTGTTTTGATATAAAAGGTTGAATTAACATTTAATTAATACTGAAATCCTGTATTGTTTTCAATTGTTTATTGTTTATATGTTCAGTTATTCTGAACATATAACTAACAGTTGTACATCTTTGTATTTAATTATGGCAAACTCCACAAAAATCAAAGAATCATTTAGATTGCAAAAGAAATACAAAACCATTGAGTCCAGCCATTAAACTAACACTACCAACTCCACCACTAAAACTATGGCCCTAAGTGCTTTTAAATAATTCCAGGGATGACGATTCCACTACTTCACTGGGCAGCTACTTCACTGTACTAAGTTCCAGAGCTTGACAGCCCTTTCTGTGAAGAAAATTTTCCTAATATTCAATCTAAACCTCCACTGGCAGAAGTGCCCTAAGTTAAAATGATTAATTACCAAATAATTCAGTTTGGAAGGGCAACCTTCTACTCAAAGCAGGCTTTACTTCAAAGATAGGTTAGGTTGCTTAGGGCCTTGCCCAGGCAAGTTTTGAGTATCTCCAGGGATAGTGATAGCACAAACTCCAGACAACCTGTTCTACCACCTGACTACTCTCACTGTGAATATTTTTTCTTCTTTTTTTATCAGAATCTTACATCCTATAAAATCACAGCTGTTGCCTCATATTCTGCTCTGAAAAGAGTTTAACTCAGCCTCCTCTGTAACCATACTTTGGCAGCTGAAGACAGCAACTGGCTCCCCCTGGCTCAGTCTTGCCTCCTCCAGGCTACACAAAAGCACTCTTTGAGTCTCTCCTTTACACGCGGTGTGTTCTGGCCCCTCATCCTCTCAGCAGCCCTTTCCTGAATTCACTCCTGTTTGTCAGTGCCTGTGTCTCATACTGAGGGAAATGGCACACACTCAAAACTGAGCACAGCAAAATCCTTTTATTCTGTAAGACTGCATGGATCAAACATTAAATAGGCATAACACAACTAGGAAACATTTTCCTCCTGCTGTTATGAGAACAATACTCAAGCCACTCAAAACACAAACTGGATGTTGAAACACTTCAAGGGAAAGTCCTGGATTACTCATACTTTTTGACAAATACACAGAATGAAATAAGTCTTCACTGCTGCAGCCAACACTTACTTTGAAGAGAAGCCACGCTGACGGCTACTTGAAAAAACCCTGTTTACAATAGGTTCTCGAACACTGAAAAACATCTTTGGTTCCTCTGGACTATAGAGCAGAGACTCATTGAAATCATTTGTTACTGTAAACAGAGAGATCAGCCATTAGTTTTTACAGGGAAAATTAGTTACTCGCAGAAACACACATTCCTCCAGAAAAGAGTAGCTTCCCTAGCAAAAGGGAATATTGAGTCTTGATAGATGTTTAATAGTCTTCACGGGCAAAAAAAAATTACTTTTACAGAATATTCCTTTCAGTTCTATTGCATGATGAACACTCAACAGCCCTCTTCAGGTAATTAAATGTTTTGTTTCAATTGTGTATTAAATTAAGTGTTTCAAATCTTAGGAGAACTGAAATTTTCCTGAAGATCTATATATATACAGAAGTCTAAATAAGTGTTTTCACATCAAGTAAGACATCTTTTGCCAAATGTGCCTAAATAACATTTGCAAAAAAGACTATTCTTATTGAAGGAGCGCTAAAATACTGAAAGCAGTGCAGACTATTAAGAGTACAAACAAAACGGACTGGTCAAAGTTAAGACACTTTAAAGAAATCTTGCCTTTTCCACTGACCTTTTTGCACTAAGTCCGTGTTCAGAGGCATATCCAAACTTCCACGCTTTTTCGCTGTTAAGAGCAAGAGCCCCAGTTAGATAAGAGTATGTTTATATAAACTTGGCTAATAATACCACACTATTCACTCACCAATCTTAAGGATCTCTTCAACAGCTTGATGTGCAACTTTGTTAATATTATAGGACCTAGACAGAGAAGTAGAAGTCTTGTTTGCTGGGCAGTACAACTTAGAGAAAAACAAAGCAAAAAACCCCCCAAAATTTTGCATACAGACAAACAACTATGTTCAACATTTGGGAAAAAAAACCAAACAATGAGATTAAGTGTGATATCAGTTTCTTCCAAGAAAAAGTTTTAAATTAACTCTTGGTTTGACATCTATCTGTGGCTTTGCAAACCTTAAAAATCCACTACCTGATGTCTTCAGGAAAGAGCATGATACATGGGATGTAGTCTCCTTATCAATAATCCTTCTGCCTTAACTCAGTAACTGCTGTTTAAAGTCTGCCTTAAAAAAACTGAAGCATGACAGTTCTACAGATTCAGTGTGTTCTTATCCCATCTATCCAACCCTTGCAATTTAATTCTGTCTGTTCGTTTTTGTTTATGAATCCCACATTTATTCACAAATATTATGCCTCTTTGTTTGTATCCTAAGGTGTGGGCTTGAATCTCACAAGAACTGGCACATATAGAAAAGGGGCAGTCAGACCAGCCACTTCTGCATTTGACACATTTGGATGAAAAAGTCAGCATAAAGCCTATCAGACCACAGAGCTGCTAAGTGTGGCTGTCCAAGGCTCCTTCTCTTACATGTACTGCCTATCTGCAAGCCTGATCAGATACTGGCAAGAAACTGAGATGCACAGTTTGAAATTTTTCTCTCTCTCACCTAGATGTCCTTTTACACAAGTTTTGGCAGCTAAAGACAACACCTGGACATTTAAATGTCTCTCAGTCCAAGGAGGCTTGAAATTCCAGGAGAGTGGAAAGCCCCCAAACCACAGGGTAAGGAAGATCACTCCACAGGCCTGGTCTCAGTTTAGAGAAGTCCAGCCACATACTGATCACAGCAATGGAGAGGAGCAATCCTAGAGTTTGATCTCTGGTTCTAGGATTCCTCAGTCCAGAGTGTATAAGCAAATGAAATGCGTAAGAACAGCATTGAATTAAGAGTGTACTTTCCCAAGGTCCTGAACACTAGGAAAGTTTCCCTAGCAGTCTGCCAATTTCATCCTTGGCAGGCTCCAGGACTAAGTTATGCTGACTGAATACAAAATTCTGAATTACAATGAAGAGTAAAACCCAGTAACCATGGTTACAGCATGAATATTCATTTTCGAATTTCATTAAAAGCTTCTGTTGTAGTTCATCTTAGCCTGCCACATAAATCCAGGGCCTATTGTACAACTTTAAACTGTGAGCACAAATAGATTTCAAGGCTTTCACTGTACATGTCCCTCACATCTCAAAACTAAGTTGATTAGACTTACATGCAGTACTGCAGCTTGTTTAAGCTGAAAAAATAATCCACCCCTTTGATTAAGCTAGCACAGTTCTATGTAGATATGGTCATCTTTGTTTAAGGAGAGTACTTTGGCAAAGAGATTGTGCCTTGTCAATTAAATATGAAAGAAACAAGAGGCTTGAAAGGAGAATGGACAGTAGATGTGCCAGAGACAACTTAACACTGCTTCCAAGTACATGTTTCCCCATTCTTCTTAGAGCTTAGATTTTTATAAGTTTACTGAGTTACTTCATCTAAGTATTTCCATTTTAGCCAACAAGAGTAGTTCACAGATCATCCCAGTACGCTCTGCACGTCACAGCAGAATCTTTTTCCCTCACCATTCCCAACCATTCATCTTCACATGTGGCATTCACCAAAATTACATCTAAGGTAAACTTCTGTCTCAGTGCTGCAGCTCCTCACCCTTTCAGTGCTTGTCTCCATACCTACAAGTAATGTGAGCTTTACTGTACTGATATGTCTGAGACAGATTTGAACCACGCTGACAGTGAGAATATTTGATGTTCACTGACTTACCCACAGCCCAAAAGAGTCCCAGCATGGACAAAATGCGTAAGCAAAATAGGTCCATCTAGCTTATCTGAAATGATATTTTATATCAAAGCAGTAACATGTACTTACCATGCTTTTGATCCTGTTCCAGTACACACATTAAGCCCTGAACTCTTCTGTTTTTCCCAAGGACCATCATCAACTGATATTTCATAATAGGAGGCCCTATGAAGCGAGAATTTAAAACTGGGTTTGCAGGACTTAAAGTTCTCCCTGAATAAGACAGAACACACAGCCTTATCAGGCACATAACAATTTAGAGGGGCTAGTTTCAAATCTGGATGACAATTTCACAGGCTTTGCACAGTGTTTCCAATTTGACAGTTACTTCTGATTCACTGATTCCCTTCTCATATTAATTTATGAATAAAACCACCTCATGGTTTTGGTTCATCGAGGAATCACTTTTTATACAAGCAGGATTTGTTGGACTTACAAATAAAACTGTAAATAATTACCGTCCTTGCATAATAGTTGCACTACTGAAAAGCTGTGTTTATACTACCATTAGGTCTCATTAAATTATGTCAGGGAACGCTACAATGTAAGGCACTACAACCTAAGTAAGTAATAGCATGGCCTGAAGCTGAATTCTTGATCACTTCAATAATTAAAAATCCACTCCTTCAGGAACAGCTTTAAACCATCAGCAGGCTTATATTTCTCTCCAGGGCAAATTCTTCCCAAAATGGAAATGTACTATGTCTTGGGGTACAATCATCTCCTGCATGTTACTGTTCATGTATCAGGGATTGCTAATGTTAGGTCTAGAGGGGGCAGAGGGTTTCTCTCTATAAGCTTCAGAACATTCAAGAGTTTATTTATGAATTAAAGTTGCTGATGTTCATAGTGCCTGATGCAAGCAGTATGATACAGCCTTCAGATTACTAGGACCCTCTTAGAAAAACACTACATTCACTGTTATGCATGACTGAGTTTCACCTTTCTTAGTAAATGGACCTTACTGAGCTTTTTTAGCTGAAGAATGTTTCAGTCTGGATCCACTAGGAATACAACTCTTGACTGTTTAGTGTCAAACAGTTTCTACTCTTAGTAACTCTTGAGAATATGGGGAGATGAAAGAACTGGAAGTAAATTATTAACACAGGTGTACAGTTTGATTCAGTTTAAGATAATTTTTGCAAGGTGAGTCTGAAGGATTTTTTGAGTTTTTTTCTTCTGTTTCCTTGTTTTCTTCATGGACATGCAGATTAAGACCTTAGAAGCAGCTGCCAGTCATTTTGTATTAATTAAGAGCAAGCCTGTATATTTGAACTTTACAGAAGAGTCATCTCTGTGACATCATTATTTAAGTCTTCGAGTGTAAGGTCCTATGAACACAATAGTTCTTTCTAGAGATTAGTTCCTACAGGCACTGTGTTCCCCAGTGGTTCTCAAATACACTGGAACCAAAGACCACGATGCACTTGTGACACTCCAAGTGTTGGAAAACAACTTTGTGTTCCTCTATCACTGTCTGTTAAAGAAACTTCTCAAAATCTTGATAAAATTAGTAGAAAGCAAGATTTCTATCTCTTTGAGACTAATTCCTTCTGCCAGACTGAGGCTGCAGTCTAGATGAAAGATAAAGCACTCATGGAACACTTATTCTGTTTCCTGCAGCAATCAGTGTCCCAGGCACTGTACAAACACAAGAAGTTGTTACACTCTGAAGTGGGTTTTCTGTTGTTGTTGTTTGGGGTTTTTTTTAAGACAAAAAATAAATGGAAAAGGGATATAAAATACAAGTAAAAGTTTGGCCAAATCCTGACCAAGGATAATGTTTTATCTCTTTTATCACAGCTCCAGTCATATTACCCATATCCTTCTTCCTGTTTGTCTGCCAAACACAGTGAATCTAACTATCTTATCCTGGATAAGGTAGTTCCACAAACTGATACAAACTTGTTTCTTAGCACAATAAAGTAAGTGTTATCTCCCAGTAACGAAGCTTCTGCCAAAGGCAGGCCAAGACCTTTGCTCCTAATGACAAAAAGGTAGGAAAAGGAGTACTTGGTCATGCTAAAACCTATTTCTGCTTAGTCGTGATAAAAGCTTACCAAAAGATATTTAACAAGAGATGTGGGAGAGAAGGCAGTTTAAGGATGGGTATTTAAATCTTCAATAAAGGGAAAAGAAAACAGCCAGGGAAAGGAAAGAATGTCCATACAGGAGGTAGAAAACCAGAAATTAACATCTCTAAAAATACACTTTGTAATATGCAATAATACAATCAGTGTTAAATATCTATAGACTAGAACTGAAATTTTACAGTAAAATCCCACCACTGATTGTCCAATGCAATGTCATAAAAAGAAATTAAGCCAATTGTGCCTTGTTGTAACAACAAACAATTAAACATACCTGGATGAAAGAGATTCCCCAATGAAGACTTCATTGAGTGCTCTCACTGGTAAAAGATGTGGACCAGAAATGTCAGATCCTGCAGATATTGAATACAGCAGTTTTGAATCACAGGTTTACAACCCAAATTTTTAGAAAAAGTTCACAACTCATTGGAGGAGACTCTGCTGCCTGGATTTGTATTGTAAATCTAGTGCTCCATTATCTTCAAGGACTCAATTTTTTACTGATTTAGGCTGTAGCGAGTCACTGTCCTTTACTGGATACAACAAGTATTTGAACCAAGGTCAGTGAGGCAATGACATTTAGGTTCAGACATTGCTTTCCCTGAAAACTCATGGGCAACCAAACAGAATGAATTCTTCTCCTCTGTCAGTTACTCTTCCAGCCAAGAGGTGACAGTGACTTCACAGCTATTTCTGATAAAGTTCAAGGAATCAGACTTTATATCACAAGGTAATTAAGGGGGATTAAGAAATTTTTTGTGTTGACAAGGACTTCTACGTGAGCAAATGCAGTACTGGAAACAGGTTAATCAGAGAATCATCACGAAAAAAACAGTTGAAGGTGTTTGACAACCAAGGAATTACCCAGGAAGAGAATCAGAGAATCTCACTTCTAATTTCTCATTTGCTTGCTGGTATTCTGAGACCAGCTTTTTCAACTGTGAAGTAACAAGTTAAGAGTATGTGTGTACAAACACACAACACACTCAAGTGGTTTTAGTAACCCGAAGAGGTAGCATTTTAAAAAAGATCAGGTATTTTGACATTAGATAAATTAACTGTGGATACTGAAAACTGGTTCTAATTGTACAGTCCCAAATATACAAAAAAAAAAAAAATCCCTTCTAAAAAACATTAATCTCGGTCCTCAGCTAATCAGAGGAATCTCTCAAATGCAGTACCCAAATTTCAAATACTTCAACTCTTACAAATCTTTGTTTTCTATTTCAAGTTATCATAGCAAATTGATTATATTCCTGTAAGATTTTAACCTACCTTGATCCTGGAATCTTTCATTTATGTGAGCCCTGCTGTGTTGCTCTTGGCTCAGCTGCTGTTCATGTAAATCTACAGGGGTTGGGTTAATACCAGTTCCTTCGAGATACAATCGGATTCTTTGCCGCCACTGCCACCTAAGACAAGAGGAAGAAGTTGGTATCAACAGCTGAAATATTCATTACAGAATTAGATAGGATCAGAAAGTCTTCATTCTCAAAACAGAACATCATAACAATTAAATATATTCAAAGTCATGTTTCAAGTTTTATATCTTCCACTATGAGTCCTAAATTTAGAAAGTTAATCACACTAAATTGTAAACGCTTTACACTTCCCAAGTTGCTTCCTCATGTTTTTTGCATGTGTGAAGAGGACACTGGCCAAAAGTAGTCTTAAAAAATCATATAAAGAACAACTCTTCTTTTTAGGCATGTGATTCTAACTTGTGAATGAATGATTGACGCAGGGATTTTGAGAATAAAAAAGATCTCAAGTACAGAGTAATATGTGCTATATTTTTAACATATTTCATTTGTATATGTCCAGAAAAGCAGCTCTGTCCATCCCTTTATACATAAGGACCACAAGTATCCTCTCATTTTAACAATCTCCCCTAGCCTAGGAATTTAGGATGCATCAGAGGAATTCAACTGAAGCACAAGAAGGGTATAAAAGTTATAATACAACATTCAGATCTTTTTATTTTTCCCTAGAGATATCAATTCCTTTTCCTCTTACAATTTAGAGATTTCATGAAATAAAATAGCAGTAGCTTGATTAAGAAAGCAAATCATGAGGAATTGTTATGAGCACATTTTTTCCCCATTCATACTGTTGATACCCAGCTGACAGTCACCAGTTTTTCCTGAAATTACAATAAGGAAGCCTTATGCCTTCTATGACTACATTACTCCTTTTTCCTCATTGTCATCTTTGTAAAGCCTCATTCAACATATCCTATCTGCCCTTAAATTCCAAGTATGGTTTTAGGTAGTCAGGCAGACAGCTTGCAGTAAGTATCACTACACTGGCCTCCTTACGATGCTCACACTAGAACACGTCACATCCCCTAAAAAAAATTAGAAAATGGGACTGTATTCCTATTATACCCCTATTCTGAGACCCAATCTATTACACCACTGGCCACCAAGAAAAGAAACATGGGTGATCTGATATGGTTTGTCCTTTATAAATCAATAATGTTGGTTATTTTATGAGACTACAAGGTCAGTGCTTACATGGATTGTTACACTGACTGACACCTCACGGGTAAGAAGACAATTGCCCTTTTCCAGTCTCTGGCACCTCACCATCCACATACAACTGCAAGCCACCAAAAGTCCTTCCAGACAACCTGATTCAGTCACCCACCTATTTTAGAGTTTCCTTAGGGCCAAATAAATCTGAGAACTGTCAAATGAAACCTCTGGTCAGGTTTTTGCTTAAGAATAAGAGTCCTGTTATTTCAGAAAAAAAACCCTCAACTGATACGTATTTCAGGTGACTGATTTCTGTTGAATGGTTTGTCATCCTAAAAGTATTCCAGAAAGTTACTACACCACAGAACAATGTCTCTTTTAAAATAATTATTAAAAAACTCTTCCCTAGTCTGTCCTTTAAAATCCAGCCTGTTACTTCTTAATTCGAGTGAGATTTTTCTAGAATATCTAGTATTGAAAACATCAAGCTCTCTTCAGCGTGAAGAAAAGCTTTGCCTTACACTCATCTGTTAACAAAAGTTTAGCCACTTTACCTCAGTCACCAAAACCCCAGATCCAACACACTGACCATTTCCTAAGTGCATATGTTTCATTAGCTTCTAATGGCCCTCACTGTACTACATATGCTTTTGAGTCTTAAAATATGTAAACCAATGTACCCTTTAGAGGCATGCAGTTCCTCATTTATGAATTTGCTAAGTCAGAAAAGAAAATAAATTATTGCAGGTCATAACAGAAGGCTTTTTGCTGGAGCTGGCAGTCAATTTTATCCTTTGTATTCCAATCTAACACTCGACCATGAACTCATTTGCAACACAGTAAACAAACACCTACACCAAATTCACAATTTGAGGCATGAAGATTTTACTAAACTTCACCTACTCCTTAGGCATTGCACATCATTCGTTAAGTATTTTCCAATCCCACTGTGCTTTTGAAAACCAAAGATCAGTGAATCCTACCTGAACTCACCACGATAAAGCTTCTGTAGTGCTTCAGGAAATGAACGTGTGTATCTCACAGGCAAGCACAAGTGACCCTCAGATCTAGCAACAAAAAACGACAATGAAAATGACAGTATATCTCTTAAGATTTGGTACCTTCAAAAAATAAGGTTATTTCTCCCACATTTCCCCTAAAAATTGTCTGTTCAGCTAGTAATCCTGCAGGGATATATAAATACATGTATAGTTCCTGTTACCACTCTGGGCAAGGAATTCAAGTTTAATAAACCTGACAAGTGAGAAAGTAAATTTCCTCCACTTACACAACTTAGTGAAACAGGTAAGCAACCTGCCTAAGATCAAAAGAAATCTCATGTCAAAACTAGAAGACTAAACACTGCTCCCCTTTCATGAGTGATATTCGATAACTTGACGGCACTTGTTATTTGAACCCTGCTATTCAAGATTGATAAGGCAGAATAAATTAGCTGTTAATATCAAAAGCAAAAATCTAAATCTGGACTTCCCAGCAGATAGAGCCTTGGAGAATTCTGAGTTTTACTTGCCATTCATTCCAAGCAGGCACTACACACTAACACACTGCATCTACCTAACTGCAAGATTGATTTGGGCAGGTGGATGCAACTTGTGTAGAGTTTATAATAGGACAACTAAGTGCCAATAATTGGCTGCAGAGACTGTATCCTCCGAGGTATGACATGGTTTACATGAAGAAACCACAGCAAACCTCTTCATCTAATGCTCTACTGGATCCACCTGTTTCATAAAGAGACAAAGTTTCTGTGTTTTCAGGCACCACACTTAGCTGCTTTTATCAAATCCCTCATCCTGTCTGGGTTCTATACTGCCATCTCTGGACTCAAACTTCTGGTTAATAATACAGGTTAACCAGCTGCAAGTGCTGTTACACTGGTGTGTGAAAACAGTTGTGGCAGTTTAACACAGTCACATTATCCAGTACTGCTTAGTGTCCTCTCAGATGAGACAGGGTAACTCACTGTGGAAACTTTTCTAAAAAAACCAAAGGGTTAGCCTGATACCTACAACCCACTAAAATAGACATTTACACTGCCAAATACTACAGGCATGCCTCAAATGCACAATGTGCCTGATATTAAATAAAGCATTTTTTCCCAAAATATGTTTTTACCTTTCAGGATCAGTATTTACTCCAATGACTGGTTTAAATTTATCAAAAACCTTACTGGCTGCCAACAACATTGTACCATCACCTACAGAAAAAGTAAACCAAAAGTTAGTATCACTTCACATTCTAGTACCCAAACAAAACAGTTCCCATGTATACTCCAGCATTACCACTACATGCTTTTATATCAACAAACAATTACGTAAGCTGGACAAAAATAAAATGGGACTGCAAAACTACTGACTGTCTTTCAAAGCAGAGCAGTGACAACTGAGTTCAAGATGGCAAATGTGACTGGAAAAAGTACAACTTATCTGACAGCTATACATGCCCAGGCAACTGAATTTGGTAGAAGCAAGCTTTAAAAAAATTTATGGAAATTTCTCAGTGTTTATCAGCAGGTAGGAGAAATTCTTTAATGAATGTAAATTTAGAAAGTATTGCTAAACAAAGCCACAGGAGACAGGAAACAAAACCAAATTTTACTGCAAATCACATAAAACCCATTACTTTAGTTTCATCCCAGTTGTCCTCCTAGAAGGCACAATTTAAAGATCTTATTTGGCCCCAAACAGGCACACTTAGAAAAGAAGTCTTAGGTAAGTAGAAAGCTTCAAAGGAGAAATCCTTAAATGTACTGGTTTCTTCAGATATTAGTATTTTTTTCCTGGTTGTTAAACAGCAGGACAACTATAACCTCAATCAGTCTTTGCAGCTAGATATAAGCTCTGAAAACCTCAGATGAGGTATCACTTCTCAGCTGCTTTCCTCAACTATGACAAATTTTGCCATAAATGGGCACTTTAGTCTCCAGCCTAGAGGAGTTCTTTGAAATGTACAAGAGTGTATTAGGAAGTTTCAGTAGTGTACAGATACCCCTTTCTACCCATGCTGCATGGTGATCAGTAGCTAAGGGCAAAGTGGACTAGTGGGAAGAGGGAAAGCCACAGTCAAGTCTACCACAGATGATTGAACATTATGTTAGAGCCCAGCAACACACAGCACCAAATCCCCAAAGAACAACACTGAAAGAACTGATGCAATCCAATATTAAAAATCAACAATCAGGTTAGTTGTTCTGTTGATTCATCTGAAAACCACTAATCAGTGGCACCAGATGCTCAGCATTCGAAGATTTTTGTCTGTACCATCCAACTTGATATGCCAGTCACTGGAATTAAGTGTGAAATCAAGAAAGACAGTTTGAGGAAGGGGATCAAGTGGTAGTATGTTAGTCTACATCTCACATCTCCCACAAAAAGAGCAGGGTTTAGGGCTACATATAATTACCTGACAGTAAGCAATTTATCCTCTTTATTTGAAAACTACAGTGAATTCCACAGTTTACACAGGACAATTAAACTTTTCCAACATGGCCATGCACTAGGATTCACTTCCTGGTGCTCTACAATTTTAGATACTAGAGGCAGACAAGATGGACACCATCACTCCATTTTGTAATATTTTCTGACAATTAAATTAGCAATTTGCTTTCAAAATGTGCATACCTCAAGTTGCACAGCTGCAAAGCATTTTTGAAAAACATGTCCATGAAAACATACTGAAACAAACACCTCCCTTCCATAAAGTCATACCTCCTGCAGATATAACAGCATCTGCCCACCGAACTGTCTCTTCGTTATATTCTCGACGTTTAACAAGGCGAACTTCGATCCTCTCATTCCTACAAAATTCAAAAAAAGCCTGAATTCTGTCCTATATTGCTCATTGTCACATCCTTCTGAAAAGCTGACGTGTAACTAAGGAGTAATTACAGCCATATTTAGCTTATAAACACTTGACACACAAATCCTTCACATCTTTCTCATTTGTTTTCAAGATGATAACAGAGCGTGCCAGTTAACTGAACTGAGCTAGTTCACATCATGATTTTTTCAGGAACAACTGCTCATCTGCACTCTTTTGAGTACTTCTATTTTAACAGAGCTTCTAACACAAAGCTTCCCTTTGTTATTTTACACTATCTGTGGGTATTTCACTGTGTCTGAAATGTTCAGCATCCATATATTCTTACCTTAAACTGTCTACAACATGCTCCACATTTTTTGTATGGATGCGATGCCGCTCCAGCAGACCAGCATAGTTAGATCCCTTCAAGGCAAGCTGTAAGACACAAATTGTTTTGCAGCAGTTAATCACTACAGTAAGTGCTCTTGAGTAATGCAAATATAAAAAAGCATGTATTTTATCTCAGCGCAGATATGTGTTTTTATAAGCATTCCATTAATTACATCTTTATATACACAGCAGTCAGCTTATATTGACGAGTTCATTACATTAATCCCATGGCCACAGCAGCCAAGAATCACAGACTCTACACAAATATGCAAACAAGCATACTACACTGACTTCCATGCAATTTCAGACACTTTGCTCTACATAAATCAGCACAGTTATACTAACTAGAGTTCTATCATGTGCTAAAAGCACCCAGACAAACAGTTAGCTAATTACCATTAAAATTAGAATCATTGTGCTGTAGAGAAAGCAGACAACAGAAAAAGCAACGGGAATGATAATTAAGAAAACGAGAGTCTGAAATACCTAGGGAGCATTACCCTTCAAATTGTATTTGAGCTAAAATGGAAGACTGCCAAGTGCTTACAAAGGTGACATTTTCTCTGCATTAAAAAAACTTTAAAGACAATCTACCTACTGCCTTTGGTACTGTTCCCTGGATTATATGCCAGGTTTTTCAAACAAGTTGATGTCAATAACAAAACAGACAGTGCAGGTGCATTCTAGCCTCTTCCTTCTTGGAAGCTGGAGAATTAAAATACTTAATGTCAACACACCCTTTAGACCATGGAAACACCTTGCAGTTTATACAGACTCTTATGAGCAGGCAGGGGAGACTGCTGACTGAAGATTAGTTTTGTAGCAGGTTTCTGCGCGAGTAATTCAGTCACCATCTGTCTGCATTCGTTCTTCACCTTATTTAGAGTGCTCATTTGGGGCTGGTACTGCCAAATTTGTTTTTGCATTGAGATTAAGCAAGTGAAAGAGAAAAGATGAAAAGGATGTTAAGAGAAAGGTGTTTATAAATACATTCATAATGAAAGTGATCCTACTTTGAGCAGCATGCTCCTGAAGCTCCTTCTAGATGGAATTAATCTCCAATTATACTGTCACTGTTTTCTTTTCCCTGACCAGTTGAAACCAATTTATCAGCACAGAAACAGAACTTCTCCTAGAGTTTGTATAGAGAAATTTATCTGTGCCAGAAGCTCTGAACAGGCACTTCCAGTAATTTATTCAAGTGCCTTTACTCAAAGTTTTATAACATTCCAAGAGAAAGTGGTGCCAGACAGCCTCGCCTAATCCCATTTTCACAGACTCAAACTCTACAGAACTACCCAGTGAAGGGGACATGACCAGCAGGATATGACAACCAAAGTTAACTGCAATCCAATACCCAAAAATGGAATCTTTATTCATCTGACACCTGTTGTTGTCAAGAAATACAACCACAAGCTAAGTACAAAGACTCAGCATTGAAGAAATTACAGAAAATAATGCAACTAGTTGCTCCGGAACTGCACTGCTGTCCCACTCTTTGTGTTTACAACTGGTGATTTAACTTGCAGGAACAAAATCTTCAGGCGGTCTTACAGCTGGGATCAGGAAACCACCTCCAAGAGAGGCTCTGAGGCTGCCTGGATACCATCAACATGACCACACAGAGACATGATCATAATGTGGATGATTAGAAAACAGCCAGCCAAATATTTTAAGTCATCTTCCCAAAGCTTGCTGGTACTGGCTTACTGGGGTACAGGGCATTATGTCCCATTAATTGTGTCACACACTTAAATCCTTTGTTTCTACTTCTGAGCTATAATGCTTGTACACTCCGTACACCTCTTGCTCCTCCAGAGTCCATGGTATTGTACCAGGAACTTGAATGGTGCCACTGTGGGCTCTGGGGACAGAAAGAGTACATGAGGTCATGGCTAGTTACAGTACTGCCCATTGCTGGGTCTGCTGTTGGACTCTCATCATCCACTTGGAAGCGAAAGGAGAAAGTGGAAAGGAGAAAATAAGGTATTAGCCTCCCACTGACATCTGCTGCCAAGCACCATAAGTCTAATTTGTTAGAAGAACTTTCAGTTGCATGTTTGAAGCACAAATTGATCTTGCTTTACCACCAGAAGAACAAGAAATTCACCAGCAAATAATCTCTAGAAAACACTGACTGTGTTACTAAAATCAGGGTCCCCATTCATGCTTCCTCTAGAAATATCTTCTGCAAATGAAACACAAGCACCTGACAAGCAGACTGCTGCAGCAGCACATGTTTTCCAGGCTGTTGTTAGTTCCACACAACACAGAAACCACACACTGCATCTTGCAATTTTATGTTCCTCATTTATTTGGCTTATTTGTCAGCATGCTATCTTTCAGCTTGGTGGAAGAGAGCTTTTATTTCAGAACAATGACAGTGTAATAAATCTCTCTGTGATCACTGTGGTATTTTTGAGTCACCAACATCAGTGGTGAGCCTACAGCTGACATTTTACTGCAGTACTAACAAAGAAAGTTACGGGTAGTGCCAATGTTGTGGAAAAGAGTCTGTTCTGTAACTTACATTTGCCATAGCTGTGTTAAATTATTTCGACAACAGCTTCAGAAAGCAGAAGAGGCTGCTCAGCAAATAAGCTACCAGTATCTTGACAAGTGGATGAACAATTTCAGCAGCACTGCAGAACAGGTATAGAATATGTAGAGGTCTCCTCTTTGAATTTAGCTCTAGAATAAGTAAGCAAGTATCACTAAACAACAAGATAAATGAAACATTAGGGCCCTGAGTTTAAATAGCTAAGCTACAACTATGGAGCTAACAATTGATCTAATTTGCAAAAGTCTGCAGAGATTACAACACTCCATTCATCTCCAGCCATATCCCCCTAGTTTAGAGATAACTAACTCACAAGTTCATTCATCTAAGAACTCAGAAAGGGACAGCCTGCCTAAGCCTAACCACAGTCAAGTATATCAAACAGGATTGCTAATCACCAGCTGCTTTTCACTTAACTACTCTCAAGAACCAGAGAAGTGCCTACAGCTCTTATGGTCAGAGGCAACAGAATCAGAGTGGTTGAACTGGAAGGAACCTCTGGATGTCAACTGGTCCAAACCCCAGCTCAAGCAGGGCCACCTGGAGCCACCTTCACAGCACCATGTCCAGATGGCTTTAGAAGATCTTCACAGATGGAGCCTCTACCATATCACTGGGCAAACAGTGCCAGTGGTCAGTCATCCTCCCAGTGTTCAGACAGACATACCTGTAATTCAGTCTGTGCTCACTGCCCCTGCTCCTGCCTCAGGTCCACAACCTGAAACCACACTAAAACTATGACAAATATTGCATCTCAAAAGAGCTTTCCACTAAGGAAAAAGAGTAAGATAAACTGAGACCACCATCTGCTTTTTACTTGGAAAGAGCTGAAGGCAAAGATCCAGCAGTCCAGTTACTGTCTGTGTGGTCATCTCCCTGAAGAGCCTGGCAGGAATTTGGTATGTACAGAAAACCCAAGACTGCAAAACAGCCTGGCTTCTGAGCCCCCTGATCAGATAGACCCTTAAACCCATGCCAGGCTTGGGTCTTACCAGGCCTGGGTCTTACCAACTGACTCCTCAAAAAGGCACAGAGGTGTTAGCTTCTGCATGAAGACAACTTGCAAATTCTTCTTCCTTTGGAGGAAGTTCTGATCTACAATTAGGCCTATTAATCTGACCTCAATACCCTGCAAGATTGCAAAATAAAATGCATTATATACATGCATAATAATATAAATGAGAGCTATTACAGCAAAAAGTGCATTAGCACATGAAAGCAGAGACAAACTGGACACAAATATATTCAGGCATAAATTCAGTAATGGTCTTAAACCTCACAGCAGAAATGCAATGCAAAGCAGGTTTCCAGAAGAGCTTGCACTGGAAAACACACTCAGGGGAACAGAAAATGTTCTATGATGGAGATACTTTTCCTCAGAAGACTGAAAGAGAAAAGATCTATATTGGATATCTAAAAATTGCTCTTCTTGTATATTCTGGCCTGATCCTTCTTTAAGGAAAGGATAATTTTTCACAGAGTTCCTTAAGCAGTCACTTAGGCAAAGAACATTTGCTTGACTGCCTTCCTTCTGGAATCTTAGCTCTTACCTCTGGCAAGTCTCACCTTACTCAGTTTAAACTGTGGGTCTGTTGTCCTTGAGTAATGCTGGTCCTCCAGGAAAATGCTGCAACACAAGGACATGGCTTCTAGACACAAATACAGAAGCAACACGAAGCCAAGCAACTTGAGAATACCCATGTTGTCTACATATCTGGATTATGACCTTTGATTTAGAGAATGGGGAAAAGAAGAGCCATAGATGAGTCTTACTGACATTGCTAAACTAAGCATTAGGATAAAAGTGTATGTTCTCTCAATACAGTAACATGATTATTGTCCGGGGTGAAAGAGTCAATGGAGCGCTTTCTACATCTCATCCCAGTACACTGAGATCAGAGAACCATAGAATTCTTTGGGTTGGAAGGACATTAATGATCATCTAGTTACAACCACCCTGCCCCAGGCAGCCTTGTCCAAGACAGTGACACCTTCCACCAGACCAGGCTGCTCAAAGCCTGACCTAAGCTGGACTAACCTTCACGTAGCCTTAAACTGCCACTGCACCAGGGTGGAGTTATTGCCTCGGTGTACCAGTCACTTGTTTTAGGATTGTTGTTCAGTCAAGAGTTAAACTAAATGCCTGACTAGAAAGAAGGAGAAAAAAAAAAAGAGGAAAAAAAAAAGAGAGAAAAAAAGCACCGATCTAGAAACAACTGCTCTCTCTCAAATTTCTACAATGAACTTGCCCACACATGCACTCAAGCAGGAAAACAAGAACAGATCACAGCTTTCTAATCTACCAACCTTTCTGTTCTACAGAAAGAAGCACGAAACAACCCAAATGGATTTAAAGAGCAATAACTAAACACAGAAATTTGAGTTTTAACCTAGAGAAGAAAATGCTATTAACATTATAGGCATAACAATCTACTATTTCTAAGCAAAGTACAGGACTTTTAGAAGTTTGGTATTTTCAGATATTGTCCCTCAAGATTTAACCACACATCCTGTATAAACCTTAGTGCCCTCAGTTTTAAAAGAAACAAGCTTTTGATAGGCATATAGGAAAAAAATATTTTTCTAAATACATTAAATTCTGAACTACAACCAACTTTGAATATAGTACATGCTTCAAAGCCTATGCTTCTTTTAACCTTCCTGACAAAACTTGACTCTGACTCAAAACTTCCTTAATTACCGAAGTCAAAGACTGGCAATGTACAGCTGTATGCAAGTGATGTTCCCAAGTTCTAGTGTTAACTACTAGTTAGGGTAAATCTCCATCTATCATGCCAAAAACAACTGCAGTTTTCCTCAGAGGTCAGGCACACACTGAACTTTTGGATTTCTTATGAGCTCCAATCACATATTAAGCTTTCGTATTTCATAATCTAAGAATAATCCACACACAAATATGTGGGATTAAATCATGATTCAGCTTCTGAATCTTAGATAATAAAATTCCAAAGATGAAATGGATAAATACATACCGAGCAGTTATCCATCGCAGAACTTGCGCAGTAGAAATCTGCACTTTGGAGACATATTTCAAGTGCCCCACAGCAAAGACTAGAGGGCAGCCATAGCAACCTGGAATCACAACTCTGAACCTTTAATGTGTTTTTTCCAGCATTAACTGGCACTGATGGGGGAACTGAATTTGGTATAGACAACAGACAGCAGGTTTGGATATGACATCCACTTTCACACTACAGGACAGCACACCGACTCTCAATTTCTTCTGATTATAGAAGAAGAAAAGTATCAGTTGTGTGCTTCAATTGCTGTATTCCCACTAATGAAAACAAGCTTGCTGATACTAGCAAGCTGTGTGGTAAGGTCAACACACTGGAGAGTGGAGATGTCATCCAGAGGACCTGGACAGGCTTGAGAGGGGCAGCCTGTGCAAACCCCATGAAGTTCAACAAGATCAAATGCAAGGTGCTGCACCTGGGTTGGGGCAAGCACCAGCCTTGACAGCAGCTGGGGGATGGAGGGATTGAGAGCAGTTGTGTGGAAAAGGACTTGAAAGTGTTGGTGGCTGAACAGCTGGACATGGCTCAGCAATGTGTGCTCACAGCCCAGAAGGACAACCACAAGTAAACTGCATCCAAAGCAGGGTGGCCAGCAGGGCAAGGGAGGGGATTCTGTCCCCCCTGCTCTGCCCTCAGGATAACCCATCTGGGGCACTGCATTCAGCTCTGGGGCTCCCAGCACAGGAAGGACATGGAACTACCAGAGTGAGTCCAGAGAAGGACCACAACACTGATCAGAAGGCTGGAACACCTCTCCTAGGAAGACGGGCTGAGAGATCTTTACCATGCCTTCCAAATCAAATCATTCTATGATTCTGTGACTCTGCTTTCACAGAAGTTGCTTGACATTTCCCCATTCTCAAACTTCTTAAAAAGAGGAACTGTGGTCTCCTAAATGCTTTTGCTCTAGAAATACTAAATGCATCATCTGATCTCATATGGTTTTGCTATAGAAAAAAACAAGATTGTAAAATCACCCCTTTTTGAAAAACAAGTTAGACAAATTTAAGTGTTTATTAAAAAATTCCAGGCTCACTGAATAATACTGTTTGATAGGTCTCTGGCTCAGTGTGGTAGGTTGACCCTGACTGGATGCCAAGCACCCACCAATGCTGCTCTATCACTCTCCTCCACAAGTGGACAGGGGAGAGAAAATATAACAAAAAGCTCATGAGTTGAGATAAAGACAGGGAGACGTCACTCATTGATTACCATCATCGGCTAAACAGACTTGATTTGAGGAAATTTATTAAAAATTAAATTCAGAGCAAGATAATGAGAAGTAAAACAAATCTTAAAAAGACCTTCCCCTCACCCCTCTTTCCTTCCCAGGCTCTGCCTCCTCCCCTCCAGTGGCGCTGGGAGGCAGGGAATGGGGCGTACGGACAGGGAATGGGGTGTACGGACAGGGAATGGGGTGTACGGACAGGGAATGGGGCGTACGGATAGTTCATCACAGGTTGCTTTTGCTGCTGCTCAGGGAGAGGAGTCCTTCCTCTGCTCCAGCATAGGGTCTCTGCCAAAGTAGACAATTCTCCACAAACTTCTCCAACGGGCTTTCCCACGAGCTACACTTCTTCACAAGCAGTTCCATCGTGGGTCCCTTCTACAGGGTGCAGTTATTCAGGAACAGGTTGCTCCAGCACCAGTTTCAAGTCCTGCCAGCAAACCTGCTCTAGTGTAGGATCCTCTCCATGAGCCACAGGTCCTGCCAGAAGCCTGCCCCAGTACAGGCTTCCCATGGGGTCACAGCCTCCTTCAGGTACACCCACATCCTCCATTGTGGGTCTACCCTACAGGCTGCAAGTGGATCTCTGTATCCCCATGAACCACAGTGGACTGTGGGGGCACAGCTGCCTCCCCATGCTCTGCACCACAGGGCACAGTGAAACTTCAGCTCTGACACCTGGAGCAACTCCTCCCCCTCCTCTTTCACCGACCTTGGTGCCTGCAGAGCTGTTCCTCTCACACATTCTCACTCCTCTCTTCTCTGTGGGCAATTATATCTGCACAGTAATTTTTTTTTTCCTTCTTAAATGTTATCACAGAGGTGTTACTACCATCTTCAATTGGCTCAGCCTTGGCCAGCAGCCAGTCTGACTTGGATCCATCTGGCAGTGGCTCTGTCAGATATGGGGGAAGCTTCTGGTGGTTTCTCACAGAAGCCACCTCCCGTATTCCCCCCCAGTACCAAACTCCGGCCATGCAAATCCAATACATTCAACCTGTTGCTAACAATAGGAAGGGCTTCAGCAGAACCATGTTGGTATTACTAGAGAATTAACCCATTTTGGGACACTCAGCTCTTTCAAGGATCTGCAGTCCAGCTCATTCAGACTAGAACAAGCACTCTGAAGTGAACCTGAGAACCAGTGTCAGTAAGCAGCTGAAGGTCCTAAGTGAACTTAAAATGCACTAGTTTCTGATAATGTAATAGCTAACAATCCAATCTCCAGAGTCAGTGCACTGTTTACAGCATGGCTTTAATAGTGAGTATCTGCCTTAGCTAAAGTAGCAGAGAAACCGTGCAGCCTCCTAAAACAAATTCCCACTGAGAATCAGCAGTAACCAGGCTCAGGTTTAAGTTCTCTATAAAGTTTTAAATAAGAATTAAATTTTCCATTACAAACTACTGCTGAGTTGCAAGCCATAGGCATTAAACCCAGTTTCTCCTCGCTTCCTAGTCTGGGTTATTATTTATCATACAGTCTGTTTGCTTTTATAAAAATGTGATAGGTTAACTGATGCAGTACTTACCATACTAGAAAGATAAGAAGGCTGGTGTTACCTGCAGCACTACTGACTGATGTACTGACTAGCTGTCAGTTGCTCAGAATTGTTCCTAATATTTTTCCTATACACCTGCTAGGTTTCTACTGTTTCGCTGCAATGCTCTGCATCCCGTAGAATTTAAGTCGGCTGCTTTAGGTAGGTTTTTTTTTTCCCTTACACTTTCCTCACTTTTTTCTTCAATAACTTAGACCACTCACTTTCATTAACATGGTCTCAACAGTTTTTCAAATGGTGCCTTTGTATCTGCTATAGACTGGTGATTGTGAAGTGTTTTGCATATTATAGCATTTTGCATGCCTTTAATTAATGGCCAGTCTTCGCAAGTAAAGATCCAGGAAAGGTCTTTACACCTTCCAGCCTGCGCATTGGATTTTTATTTCTGTAGCAACTGACTTCACTGGCAACATTATGTTCCTCAAGCTTTATAGAAATGCTGCTTTAGGGCAAGAGTTTGATCCATACATGAACCAAAGTAAAATTGCCATAAACTGTTTTCTAATTCTTCATCCACCACATTAAAGCCTTATTGTCATTTTAACCACATCTGAGGAATACACATAGTTGTTTGCAATTGAAAGGCTAATGCAGAGCAAATTGTTGTGTTAACTGTAAACAGAGCAGTAACTACTTTCTGCACTAACATGTTTCTAGAAACTTTGTGCAATCCAGGCAGTACAGTCACTCAGTTCTCATTAATTCAGCACAACATCAATATAACGTCATAAATCACAACTAGCGAAGTACTTCAAACCAATATTGAAGTAACTTCCAAAAAGCAGCCTTTTTCAGCTGTGTACAGTATCAGATGCCTGGTTATATAATCCATGAAGTTTAATTCAGGTACACTGAAATGCCCCCTATTTTATATTTATATTTGTTATATATGACTAAGTGTACTTGAACAAATGCTATGGAAAAAAAATAATTACTATATCCTATTTAATTGTTTCCATCATTTTCCAGACTCCTCTTATGACAGAACAACAACATGGAAGGAACTTTTTAATAAAGCAAATGCAAACTGAAGTTACTTAACACTGATGCAAGTATATCAAATTGCAAAGGTAAAGATAAACAAATGTACACTATGGTTGTGTAACTTGTGTTACATCTACACCCATCTCAGTTTCCAGTGGACTAGCTCAAAAATTTTATTTCTGAAAAGAAAAAGTGTCTTTAGCTTTATACAGTCCAGGTGTGCTGTACCCTGTGTCTTGAATTCTGTATGCTTCAAATTCACTAAACTGAGTTGATATTTCTCCCCCTCTTTTCAAGGTAAGGTAAAGCATAGTACAGTCCTA